CACTAACAGCTTTTCAGGAAGAAAAGAAATTTCTACGATGCTAAATGTACATGTTGACTGCAAGGTACATCTTAAGTCCAGAAATGTTAAATGGTGTCATGGAATCATGGGAATATAAGGATGTTCTTTTGAAGTGATCGCATTCTGAATTTCTACCTCTGATTTCTTTTTTCAGGGTCAAAGTCAGAGTGGTGGTCATGGCCCTGGAGGTGGCAAGAAGGATGACAAGGTAAATAAGCCAGATGCGTCTGTGATGTGAGTAAACATATCTTGTGCAACATATCTTGGCTCTCAGCTGAGAAGTTCTTTGGGGACTCGTGAGTGTCAAAATGCAAAATAAGTAATCCTGTAGTTTTTTAACCAGCCTGGCCTCACATACAGTATCCATTTCATGTTGTAGAAGATTGTTGACCTGTCAAGTAAGTAATTACGAATTAATGATTTTTATTTTTAGTTTCATTTTAGAGAGAGAAAGGGGGTGAGTGGGAGGAGAGGAGAGGTGAGGGGGGAGAGAGAGAGAGAGAGAGAGAGAGAGAGAATGAGAATGAGAATCTTAAGCAGGCTCCACACTCAGTACAGAGCCCGACACAGGACTTGATCCCACGACACTGGGATCATGATCTGAGCCGAAATCAAGAGTCAGATGCTCAAATGACTGAGCCACCCAGGTGCCCTGAACTAATGATTTTTTTTTTTAATTTATTTTGAGAGGGAGTGTGGTTGTAGGACAGGCAGAGAGAAAGGGAGATAGAATCCCAGGCAGGCTTCGTACCAGCAGCATAGAGCGTGACACAGGCCTCAAACCCGCAAACCGTGAGATCGTGACCTGAGCCAAAACCAAGAGTCGAATGCTTGTTTAACCAACTGAACCACTCAGGCCCCCCACCCTGAATTAATGATTTTTAAATGTGTAAAATAACACTACAGAGTGTTAAAATAAATTGCCAGTAAATTAGTGTTTAATATCCTCAGATGTGAAGAAGAATTGTCTCATTATTTCAGCTCAAACTTTTGGTATATAATTCTGAATTCTGACCTCTAGTCCTTATTGAATAGTCTATCATTGTGTATTGTGAAAAGAAAGATCAAGAGGTGTCAGTTAAGCGTCTGACTCTTGATTTCAGCTCGGGTCATGATCTCACAGTCCGTGAGACTGAACCCTACATCAGGCTCCGCCCTCACAGTAGAGAGCCTGCTTGGGGTTCCCTTTCTCTCTCTTCTCTCTCCCTCTCTCTCTCCCTCTCTCTCCCTCTCTGCCTCTGATATGGACTCCCTCAAAATAAATAAACTTTTAAAAATAAAAAAGTAAAAAGATCAGTTACATTCACCAATTGCAGAAGTGTAAACCTAGCTTTATTTGTAAAAGGAGTTTTTAATAGCATTCTGAAAGATAAGGGAAATTACAGCCCCGAGAAATAGATGATGGCCCTACAGAAGTTTGTGTTTTGATAGGATTGGTATGGTTTCTGTTTTTTCCTGCTGTTCTAAAAATTCAAGGACAAGAAAAAGAAGTACGAACCTCCTGTACCAACCAGAGTGGGGAAAAAGAAGAAGAAAACAAAGGGACCGGATGCTGCCAGCAAGCTGCCACTGGGTAATGGTTCCTCCCTGCTGTGTCGGTTCCACGAGAGCCGAGAGCCGTCTGTGTGTGTAGCGTAGAGGTCGGAATGCGGAGTCAGGAAACGGGGTGGCTGCAGCTCTGCTCGCGGGTGTGGCCCTCCTCTGGGCTGCGGTAAGAGCTGTGCTTTGGTGTTAGCAGTGTGCCGACGGTATACAACCATGTCTCGCTTAAACAGCCAGCTCCTCTGAGGTATGAAGAGTGTAGTTTGAGATTAGAAAAGTCAGATTGAGCTTCAGTAACTTAGAAAACACGCTTATTCCCCAAAGAAATGGAACGCCACTGTGTTGGAATGTCCGTCTTGGGATTCCTGAACACCAGCTTTTTCAGTGGCTTCATACTGAACATAGACTGAGATTCAGATCAGGTGACCTGACCCAGCCCACCTCTCTGTCCTCAGCCCGTCACTCCCCTTGCTGTCGTTCACACGGCCCTGCCTTGTGTTCTTTGACTCTTACCCACATTAGGGCTTTTGCCCTTTGCTTAAAAACATTCTTCCCCCCTCTCCTTCCCGTGGCTGCCTTTTTCTCATCGCTTCGGCTTACAAAGCCCTCCCATCCCCATCTAAACAAGTCTTCCTGCTGAGATGAAATAATTTTTTAAATGTTGGTTGGTTAAGAATGAAAGGAATCCGACAATTTGAAAAAATGAATAATGAGTCAAAATGGTATCGGTAAAGACGAGGTCCTCAGATTGCCAGAAAAGCATAGGAAGTCACGTTACATGGGTCATTACTATATGATAAGGTGATGTCTGAGTTCTGTGGGAAGAGGATGAAGTATTAACATAAATGGCTGGCGTATTTTATTTGCTCTTGAGGGAAAATGAAATTAGATCCCTTTTTGCCAGATGTAGTACAGATGTGAAAATAAGTAAATGAACAAAAATTCAGGAATATATTTAACCTCAGGGAAGGAGAGACATTTTGAGGAAACCTAGGAACCACAAAAGAAAAGATTGGCATTTTTGTCTATATATGCTAAAATTCCTGTGCAGCAGGGGACTTCAAGCCAAAAGAACGCAGAAGAGTGTGGAAAAAATGTTTGCCACCTATGTTAATACCACTGATATCTCACGGTCCTCCTACAAGTGGATGCTTTTGTTCTAGCTAGCATGCAGCATGTATTCTGACTGAACAGCACTTGTAGCTATTCTTATTAGCACCTATGGGGAATAAAACACCAAAGCAAACTATCTTTTGGCTCCTTGAGTTCTTTTCTTATATATAGAGACAGTTCACTTAGTGTATGTCATTTTGTATTAGCTGTCTGGTCATGGAACTCGTCCCGTTTTTACCTGCTTACTTAGAACTGCCAAAGTCTCTCTTCCCTTTGCATTTAGGCACCTGCTTATTAGCTTATTTTAAGTCTTAACCTTTTTTTCTTATGAATGGACTTAATTCATTGCGAATGTCAAGCTCCACATACAATAAAACTTTTTTAATTACAGTGACACCTCACACTCAGTGCCGCTTAAAATTACTGAAGTTAGAGAGAATTAAAGACTATCTTCTCATGGAGGAAGAATTCATTAGAAATCAGGAACAAATGAAGCCTTTAGAAGAAAAGCAAGAGGTAAACTGAGAAATTACTGTAACTTTGATTTTACAAATTGACGGTTTTAGTTATTAAATAGAATTCAGTGAATAAGTGAAATTCAAGCAGTTGACCTGTGCAGGCTCTTATGAATCATAAATTAGCTGCCTTTTAAAAGCACCACCTGCTTTGTAAACGTAGTAAAATCTAGTAACTCTAGTAAAACTGTCAGCATTGTCTACTTTTTAGGTCTAACCCGCTTTTCCTTCGTGGCATACTCTTACATAGGAGGAGAGATCAAAGGTGGATGATCTGAGGGGGACCCCGATGTCAGTAGGAACATTGGAAGAGATCATTGATGACAATCATGCCATCGTGTCCACGTCTGTGGGCTCAGAACACTACGTCAGCATTCTCTCCTTTGTAGACAAGGACCTGCTGGAGCCAGGCTGTTCAGTCCTGCTCAACCACAAGGCAAGTTGCCAGTCTCGAAGCCCCGAATTAGGGATGCTTTCTCCTTCCTCTCAGATCCGCCTATTCGTGCCGTTCTGGTGAATGGCATTGCACTGTTGTAAATGGATTGTGTAAACCTCACGTCCCTGCAGTAAAACTTAACGTTCTCTGTAGGTACATGCCGTCATAGGGGTGCTCATGGATGACACGGATCCCTTGGTCACGGTGATGAAAGTAGAAAAGGCCCCCCAGGAAACCTATGCTGATATTGGGGGGTTGGACAACCAAATCCAGGAAATTAAGGTAGGTCTAGGCACCGGCTCTGGGTTTTTAGACTTTAGATTTCTTACTGCTGCCTCATTTAGGGTGCTTAGAGTTATTTTGCATATTTTGTTTTTTCTGTACTGATCAAACAGTAACAGAGCTTGCCAGTGTGCTCTTTTGTAGTTGTTAATACCGAGTTAGGTAATGGAAATAAATTGGGTGATTGTTGCTTCAGCAGCTGCAGCTTAATCCTTTTTATATGCAGCGTTTATTGTGTGTGTGAATATATAATGTTTCCATCTGTGTTAACTTCAGCTGTGGCCATCTGGAAACCTCCAGTGATGTGGGGACAGTGTGAGTCGGGGGAAGTGCAGTGGTCATTCAGGTTGGCTGTGGGCCAGCCACCTGCACGGCGTCTTGTCTGTCGGGAGGTCGTGCACAGCTGTCCCCGGTCTCCACCCGGCACCTCTCAGACAGCTCGATCTCTAGCCAGTGTGTCCGTTGGTGTAACAGCAATCAGAAAATCATCCTAGCTCCTGTCTGTAGTTTAAATGGAAAGGGTGTATTTTCACTTGAAGTTCTTTTGCTCAGGAAGAGCTTATTAAATGTTGCTCAAGGCTGGCTTCTGGAAAGTTAGAGGGAAATTGGGAGCAATAGGCAGGGGGCGGCAGCTCAGGCGGGACAGAGGTCCTCTTCAATGTGTCCTTGCTGCTAGAGGAAGTCACCCACAGTGTCTCTAACAGTAGTAAGTGAGGTTTTAGCTTATTTTTGTTGAAAGTGAGCTACATTCTTGACGCCGGTTAATGGATCTGGTAATTTTAGTAGGAAAGCGTTTTATTTTTACCAGTGTTTGTTTTCTGTAGGAATCTGTGGAGCTTCCTCTCACTCATCCTGAATATTATGAAGAGATGGGTATAAAGCCCCCAAAAGGGGTCATTCTCTATGGACCACCTGGCACAGGTACGTATGCTCCGTGTTTGACACTCTCTGGGCACTCAGCTGATCTCCTGAGCTGCAGTATTAGCTTGTTATAATTAATTCTTGAGTAATGATGCCACAATTCCTTAGTTTAAAACAAAGTTCTCTAAGCGGCATTTTGGACGTTTTTGGAATAAATACAGAAACATACCTATTACACAAAAGTATATTTATCTGTATAGTAGATGCTTAGAAACTGAATTATCTTAGACTTGAAATTGTAGACTTAACAGACTTAATGTGTTAAAAACAGTAGTAGGAATTGCAACAAAAAACGAACACCAGTAGGCAGCCCCCACCCCAAATGCCTGCTCAGTGTGAATGCATTTACAGTTTCTTAGAACTCCTCTTGTATACCTCATTTACATGCTGTAAAACATAAGGCTTTCAAGTATTTATGATTCAAGATTAGTGTGAGTCTATTAAATATACTTTATAAGACAGGAAATAAACCAGGATGCTCAACCTTGGCTGTACACTAGGATCACCCTGGAGCTTTAAAAAATACCAGTATTTGGTCCCACCCTGAAAATCCTGATCTGCATCTGGAGTGTGTGGCCAGACATCAGAACCATGGTGGAGAACCGCTGATTTAAAACCTATTCTGTGCTGTTCAGATTAAGTTCATTCTCTGGTCCATTGGTACTGAATGAATATAATACTGTATACGTAGATGAAGATAAAAACACATATATTTGGTTCACCGTGCGACTAGTTGACCTGAGTAAATTGTACAGTCCAGGACTTAGTACATCGCTGTGTAAATTCCAGAGGAAGCACAGTTATTTGAGTGAATTGAAACCACGTTCCCAGGAGGATCCTGAGAGGACTGGGGACTGCCCACAGTGGAGGGACTGGGAGACAAGTGGAGATGAGCTCCAGAGGCATGGAGCTTCTGCAGCCTGTCCTCTTACAGCCCAGGAAATCAAGTATCAGAGAGGCCAGTGACCACTAGCCCAAGGCCGCGGTCGCTCTGGGAGTGAGCTGGCAACAGGGCTGAGGCTGGAAGAGAGGCCTCCTTTGGTGCATGTGCACTGCTGGGGACCGATCTGAGGAGCTGGGGTGAAGCACAGGGTGGTGGGCCTGACAGGAGGAGGAAGAAGCCAGTTCTGTGAGCCCTCTGGCTACTGCAGTGCCACAGCAGCTGGCCTTGGCCGTTTCTGGACTGAAAGATGCCACCCACTTAGAAAGGTCCTTTTTGTCTTCTGTTCACCAGCCCTAGTCGATTCTCTCGGGGAGTCTCCACACTTTAAGCCTTCATACCCAGCCCTCTGTCTGTCTCACCACAAGGATGTCGTGGCCACATCTTGTAGTAAAGCTTAGCGCCTCGTCCTTCTTCCCACTTGAACTAAGTCTTCCGTGTTACTCCCCGGCAGCCTCCTCCCCTTCCCCCGCGGGCCTAAGGTTGGTCCTTTACCAGCCCTGCTCTAACTGTCACCGTGTCCTGATGCTCCTGCTTGGCCCTGTGCCCCTGTCCTCACTCACCATCAAAGGGGCCAAGGTCTTCCAGCCCTAAAGTTCACAAAATGGCTGCCAGATCTCTTGGTTTTGACCTGAAATAGAAATCTCAAGGAACGGGGCAGGACTGGAAATGTTTGAGATCTTCCCTGAGATTGGTGAGAGGAAGTTCCTCACAAGGACACAACAGAGACTGAGAAAAGTCTGAACTATCATTTGTGGGTTTCACTGGGAGCTGGCCCTGTCTCAGCTGAGCCTCGGGGAAGCCCAGCCAGCACAGCCACGACTCCTCGGGTGGCCCCGGGGGCTGCAGGCCTGGTGCTAAAGAGTGTTTCCTTAGGTCAGACCTAGGGTTCTCAGGCCGTTTTTCCATCACTGATTGTTTCAGAGTAGAGTTTGGATCTCAAACCCTGGTGGCATGCATCGGGTTAATAACTTGCAACTTCTATGCAAGTTCGAATAACCCAATAAAGTGTATTTTCTGACACTATGATGATGACTTTAGGAAGATGGTTAAAAATAATCAGAACGTTCTGAATTTCCTCTTATCTGCCTTGGAGAACATAATGTCAAGACACTGGAATGGCGGCATGCCTTTTCATCAGAGGGATCTGCCCGTTTTAGGTGGTAGTGACAGGGTTTTCAAGTTAAGACAGCACTTGAGGGTTTTTTCACTTTGTCTTTCTTTTTCTAACCTAAAATAGGTAAAACCTTATTAGCCAAAGCAGTAGCAAACCAAACCTCAGCCACTTTCCTAAGAGTGGTTGGCTCTGAACTTATTCAGAAGTACCTAGGTGATGGGCCCAAACTCGTTCGGGAGTTATTTCGAGTTGCAGAAGAACACGCGCCATCCATCGTGTTTATTGATGAAATTGATGCCATCGGAACAAAAAGGTACATTTTTCTCTTTGTGTCATTTAGAGGTAAAGACCTTGTAGCTCTTGTCTGAGAATGATCACGGAGCACTGCCTGCATGGCCTGCACATGGGTTTGCCTCGGCTCCTTCTGTACGCGGCTGTGGACGCTTTAGGCTCTGCTCCGGGGTGCCAGGTGACAACCACCCGGGAGTCGTGACCATCTGGAGATTAGTGTGCAGCCATGCCTTGAGTTTCCACTCTGAGCCAGGCATCATCTGCACTCTGGGGACACAGCCATTGTCACAAGGCTTTCCAGGAGCTCATGGTTGGGTCGGGGGCTCAGATACCAAACATGCAATCTGAATTAATGATGCCATCTCAGGCACAAAACATCTACAGTTTAAGTAAGATTATGTGGTGGTTGGGAGGCTGTGCTGATTTTGTTGCTAGAATTGAGGCATCAGAGGTGTTTTTATAATTCCCCTTCAGCAGATCAGTTCGGTTTTCATCCCTTCTCTTTTTTTTCAAAGATACGATTCAAATTCCGGTGGTGAAAGAGAAATCCAGCGAACAATGTTGGAACTGTTGAACCAGTTGGATGGATTTGATTCAAGGGGTGACGTGAAAGTTATTATGGCCACAAACCGAATAGAAACTTTGGATCCAGCACTTATCAGACCAGGTCAGATTTGCTTTTGTCCCATCACGGAGAATGAGTGTGTTTATATGTGTTCGTGTTTAAGTGCACTTTCAGGGGATTTAAAAGTGATACACATCAAGGCAAATACGTTATTGAAGGGTAGAATAACTTCCCAAAAGCTGTGTTCCACTGAGGTAATGGCTAAGAGCATCATGTAGTAGGTGTAGCGTGGCCCTTTTCATCGCAGTCTTAAGTTGTGACCGTTTCTCTTTCCCGTAATGAATATTCTTTTTTCTGAAGAAATAGCTCCTATGGTAGCTCCAGTTAATTTCGCATTCGGGTAGCACCAAAAGCAGCAGTAGCTAGTTTGTGTGTTTCTGAAGGCACCAGAGGAGAGAGGATTTCTTTTAAACGGGATGAATTCAAATGTGGATATTTACAGAGAGCAGTGTTCACTTTTCAAGATTTGGACCCTTCCCACAAGGGAAGTTTCCCCCTGAAACTGCAGGTCTGAGGAGACAGGCTTCCCGAGCCACAGCGGAGCCTGGGGGGAGCCACAGGGGTGTGACTGGAAACCTTTTATACCCGCAGGCCGCATTGACAGGAAAATTGAGTTCCCCCTGCCCGATGAAAAGACCAAGAGGCGCATCTTTCAGATCCACACAAGCAGGATGACGCTGGCCGATGATGTGACCCTGGACGACTTGATCATGGCTAAAGATGACCTCTCTGGGGCCGACATCAAGGTGAGAACCTGGGCTGGACTGTACCTCTTGGTTGTGTGTGTGCGTGAGGACATTTCTTCCCAGATGACCAGAATTAGGGCGAGGCTCGGCAGCACTGAGTGTGCGTCCAGCCTGCTTTGTATGTGAGGACCTGGGTTTCTGTCAGGTAGGGGTAAGTGCCAAGGTCAGGTAGGGACGGCGCATGTGGGGCCTTTTCACGCCGGTGCCTGCACTGAACTGTGTATCGTTGGCATCTGTAGAACTAGGTTAGTGTCTTTGTCGGTAACTTCAATTTAAAGAGCGTTTTTAAATTTTGCACCAACTTTGTATTTTAGGAAATTTGAAGTCTTCAGAAAAGTTGCAACAATAGTAAATGCCCACATACCCATCACCTCAGTTCACCAAGTGTTACCGTTTTACCTCTTTGCTTTATCATTCTGTTCACTTTCTTTTTTTGCTGAACCATTTGAAATATCCTGAGGGTCACAACCAGATAGAAACTTAGTGCTGAGATTGTGGTTTTATCACATCATGTTGCGTGGGTTGTTTTACTTTTGGCAAGTGTTGCGAGACAATAAATGCAGTAAATGGGGAGATTTCCATTTAGCCAGAACGCATGCTCTCTCCTCAGTGTAGGTAGGTGAACTGTACGTGTGCTCTGTTGCCGCGAAGTTTCCAGGTGTAACGGCATCTGTGGCCCGGGAACGTGGCTCCCTGTAACAACGGTGGGGCGTTGGTAGAGTTTCCCTCCCAAGCCACTCCGCCGGGTAGACCCCGAGCCAGTCCTCCTCCTCAGAGCCACTCATTAGAAGGCTTCAGACATTCACAAGATCTCATCTTTTCCCAAATGGTTGAGGGAGTTTTAGTGTGGGCGTCTTACACCTTATTTCAAAGTAGCTCTCGGAATCATTAGAACACAAAGTATTTCATTTTCTGAACATACTGTTTGTTCTTTCTCACAGGCGATCTGTACAGAAGCTGGTTTGATGGCCTTGAGAGAACGCAGAATGAAAGTAACAAATGAAGACTTCAAAAAATCGAAAGAAAACGTTCTTTATAAAAAACAAGAAGGCACCCCTGAAGGGCTCTACTTGTAGTGACCACATCTGCCTTCAAGGAAACGGGGTGTCCCGACTCCTCCGAGGGATGAGGCTGGGAAGCCGCCCAGAGGAACCCACGTTCCCATTGGTCTTTCTTAGCAAAACCTCCCGTGTCCCTTTTTGAACGCGGTGTGTAGGGTGCCCGCCAGGCTGCCTTCATGTGTTGGCCACGTGCAGTGCTCTCCCCCCAATAAAGTGAGCGCCTCCTCAGTTTGTCCCGTTTCTGGAGCCTCCATGCCAGCCGCTCAGCAGCTGGTCCGGCATTAGGTGGACCAAGGCGTTAGGGAGGCTTCTGGGTGACGGCCAGGAGTGTAGACCTGAACACCTCCTGCCCTGCTCTCCTCCCCAGAGCCGGCGGCAGGGCTGGACAACAGCAGCCACAAAGCCAGCGGTGTCTGCTGTTTAAGCAACAGAGGCCGACTGTGTGGTTCTGGCTTCAGAAGGAAACTCAGCTTTCCCTTCTGGAAGGTCTGTGGAGCATGAGGGTTCTAGCATCCTTTGGGCAGGAAGGTATTGGCGTTGCTAAGCAAGGTTCCCAACAGGAATCTGCCCTGCCTGCTCGTTCTTAGGTTCAGAAACCTAACCCCCCTCAAGGGTTCTCAAAACCTGTTAGAGCTCCCCCTTACCTTTCTTCATCCATTTCCGGCACTTCTCCCCTCTCTTGAACAGTTCAGTCTTGAAGCCGCGAAGGAAGCGGGGCAGATCGAGGCAAGCGTCCACTTGGCTGGCCAGCCACCTTCCTCGGGTGCCCTGACCCGCCGCCCTTCTCCCCAACCAGTGTCCGCTGGTTTCTAGGCAAGATTCTCTTCCACGACACGGGCTTCTCTGGATGAGATGCCAAAGAAATACAACTTCAGCCATTCTAGAGCTCAGGATAGAGTCAGCAGCAGTCCGCGTTTCTCTTAGAGCAGGACCTCAGGGAAGGTAGAGCAATTTCCTCCCAGTTCAGTGTCCTTAATGACTACAAGGCGTGTCCTTTTCAGAAGAAAGTGGTCTGAATGTGGATATTTACGTTTCGTTCCATTCATACCCTCAGAAATCAAAACAAGAATGTGGCCTGGCAGGTCTGGGTCTGGGCCCCTGTGTCACAGCCCCCAGGCAGGGGTGGGTTTGGTGGAAAGGCGCTGGCTCCACTCTGCACTTCTCAGATGGCCGCCTGCACACTCCCCTGCCGCAGGGGTCCTTTGGGCAGTGCCCCCCACACTTGGTGCACCTAAGTCCCCAGGGGGTCCTGTTCAAGTGCAGGCCCTGACTCAGAAGGGCTGAGGTGGGCCCGGAGGCTGCATCTCTAACAAGCCCCCAGGTGATGCTCCTGGTCCACAGAAGGGAGGTGGCATCAAGAGCCTAGCAAATAATGAGAAACTTAAAACGGGAGAGAGGCCAGAACACCAAGTTTTAAACGGCTCTTAAGGGCAAAAGCTGCTCTCCTCACCAGCTGCGGGGAGAGGTCCGAGTGCTCAGAAACCAGACCTTTCCTACCACGACGGCAGGGCCACCAAGGGTGCCAGTGGGGAACGTTCACGGCCGGGCAGAGGAGTGGAACAGACCTCCCGCACACGAGCCACGGGTTTAGTTTTCACTTGGCAGGATTGTTCCCTACGTACACACATTCACATATACAATATGTAAACAATGGTTTTGTGTCCTTCACACATCCAAACAATGTGCAAGAGGTAAAAGACTGATAACCCAGACCCAAATTACTAAGAATTAAACCTGAAAAGCGGAGGTCTCGTGACACATGCTCACACACATGCGTCCCCGTCCTGCGCATCCCGGCTCCGGTGGGGGGGTCGGGGGCAGGGCAGGTGAGAGGCCCGGAAGGCAGGGCCCGTTCTCTCCTGGTCTAGTCCTCCAGCAGAAGCGCCAGCTCCTCGACGGGCAGGCGCACCCGGAGCTCCTTCTCCGTCATCAGGTCCAGGACCTCTTGCATCTCTTCGGGGAAGTGCTCCACGGCGTCCAGGTACAGCACCTAGGGCCAGGGGTCCAGCGCTAGCCAGCTGCCCCCACGCCGCCCCCCACAGCCTGTGCTCCCCTTCGGCCTCACTGGGCAGGACGCCCGACTCACAGAAGTGGGGTGGAAGGGGTGAACTCCAGCAAAGCCTTCTCTTCCCGAAGTGGGGTCAGGACTAGGTGGACATCTCTGTCCCTGTGTTTGACACCTCCTGACCGGGCTTTGGGACACAGACCCCAATGCTTTCAGCATCTGGGCTGAGCTTTGGGCAAATGACAGACCCCCTTGCCCACAGCAACGCGCAAGGAAAGGAAACAATCAATCGCCCATCAGCTGAGGCTCCACGGGGGACAGCTGCACGATGAAAGGGTCTGGCATGGGCCCTGTCCACAAGGACACGGGAGAGGGGCGGGCACCGAGGCTTGGCGGGAAGGTCCCTGGGAATGTGCGGATCTCCGGGGCTCTGGAACTTACCTTCGCCCAGGGACAATTCTGAAGTGCTTTGTAGAACACGCCTTTGCTCCTTTCTTTGTTTCCTAAGGAAACCTGAGGCAGGGGGCAAATCACAGAAATGATTACTTGAAGCAGAGAGTCTAGGGCTACAGAAACTACCCTGTACTAATCCACCTGGGGGCTCGGCTGCAGTGGGCCAGCCCGTGGGGAAGGGCTGGTACCGCCACCATGGCGTGTGTTCCGTGACCCGCAGCACCAGGATGGGACAAGCACAGAACTGTAGAGGACACGGCTGGTGGAGGAGCAGAGGGCAGGGGTGTGGTGCTCGGGCGGATCCGGGACTCCGACGGTCCCTCCGGAGGCTTACGTACTCAGCACCAGCGCGGTGAACCGAAACGGCTCTCGTACATGCTGGCCTCTCAGTGTGTTCTAACTTCTGCTAGCAGTCAATGGGAAAGAAGAAATGGCAGCGGAGGGTAAAACGCAATCCGGTGACCACCGGCTTGGGTGCCCCTGCTCCCTTTTCTGTTAGTAAGACTGACTTCATCGAGCCCACGGCACCAGCGGACCGCTTTATACACTCTAGTTTCTTTCCCAATTGTGCAGGTACATGATCAAAACACCCAAAGAATCTTGAAAATGATGGCAGTTTCGGGGCGCCTGGCTGGCTAAATCGATGGTGTGTGCGTCTCTTGATCTTGGGGCTGTGAGTTTGAGCACCATGTTGGGAGTAGAATTCACTTAAAAATTTTTAAAAAAGAACGAGGGGTGCCTGGGTGGCTCAGTTGGTTAAGTGTCTGACTTCAGCTCAGGTCTTGATCTCCCACAGTTTGTGAATTCAAGTCGTACGTCAGGCTCTGCATGCTCAATACAGAGCCTGCTTGGGATTCTCTATCCCTCCCCAACTTGTGCTCCCTCGCTCTCTCCAAATAAATGGATAAACTTAAAAAAAAAAAAAATTAAAAAAAACAAACTGTAATTTTAGCCAAAACAACAAGGTTCAGTGGGAAAGCGCTGGTTACTGTGTAGGGAGAGCAGCACATTTGGAAGCGCCCCTCAAACAGGTTTTAACCTAAGTCCAAACCTCAGTGGGAAAAGTTAACTGTTTCCCCAATTCCTTTCTTCTCCCATACTCGCCACGGCCAACAACAAACTAATTCTTTCCATCGTTCTCCCAAAGAAAATAAGGGAGTAAATCTGCACGTGCGCACACGCACCTGGAAAGGCACAAAGACACAACCAGCCAAAGCACCAGCCCTGCTTATGGAGCCGGCTCCCTTCAGCCTCTCCCTGCACACGCGGCCTGCACCCCAGCATTCTAGCCCTATTCTGATTTTTCTCCCGGGTTATCAGAGCCCTGGGAACCTACCTGGATGCCTCAGGAGCTGTGAGAAGTCCTGCTCTAACTCAGCTCTAACTCCCCCTCAGTCCAGTGCTAACCTTTCCAGAAGGAGAAATCCCACAAGGGGCTCCATTGTTTTCTCCCAAGTCAACAAGAGTTTTTTTTGTCCAAAATCCGAATCTGGCTCATGGAAGATCTTTGTAAAAAATACATCCGGTCCACCTCGCACCACCCATCTCTACTGACCAAGACGGGAGACGTTAGAACTGGCAGACGCGTGAGCCCTCGCTTCTTACGCTTCAAGGTCTTTCACTTGCTGACCAAGGCTTGCGTGGTAACGGCGCTGGAAATGTTAGGGAGCGTCTCCTCTCCTTCGGCTGAGTGGCTCCTGTGGCTCCACCCACGGGAGCGGAGGTGCGCCTGGAACCCGTTCTGGCCGCTGCCTTGGCTGCACCCCCGGTTAACAGGCCGCCACCATGAGTGCGCCGTGAACACCACACCAGCACCTGGACTTCTGGAGGTTTCCACGTCACACACGGGCGTCAAAATACCGAATCTGAGCTCTGGGGTTTTTTAAATGTCACAAAACACACAAACTTTTGCGGTAATTCATCTTGATGCCGACTTCCGCCCACAAGGAAGTGCCTATTTGTCCCCGGTGGGCCAGTAGGCGGCTGTCCCGGGATCACGCGTCCTCCCTGCCACTCGGGCCTTTCAGAGGTCGGGGGGGAGAGGGGGGCACACCCACATGAATTCTGAGATCTGCGAAGATGGGGGGAGGCCCAGAGCTCTCCTAATCCGTAACTTACGTGCTCTTTACACCCGACTCTGTCCTATGTCAAGTGGAAAAGTCCACAAACTTTGTCGTAAGTTACCCAGTGGAAACAGAGATAAGGAAGATCACTCCTGCTTCTGAAAGCTACAACGTTCATTACAGATCACTTGGTTTAGTAGCCTTCAGCTCAAACACTGAAGTGGCCTAGAAGCCTAGGTTTCTAAACAGCTATGCAACGTGGCAGTAGACGTGTTGTGGCAAATGAGGCCCGTTCCGAGGCCAGGTCCCGAACCAAAGGCAAAGTTGACTCACAGACGCTTGAAGCCCAGGACCCACCCAGCAGCCCCCACACGCACAGCAGCAAAATTAAAGGGCACTGCACCATGTTCAATCACCACGGTACTTTTCAGTGAGACAAAGCTTCTCTGGAGAGGTCGTTGTAAAAGCGACAGTCTAGGGTGACTCTTACCTTTAACGACAGAACAGAATCAGGATCTGGGAACTCTTATGAACAGATGGCAAAGAACTAAGGTCTCTTTCCAATGAAAGCTCAGACCACTTCCAAGTTGCTGACTCAACAAAGTCAACTCCAAGAGATCCACAACCCGCGACCTCTTGCCCAGTCCTGAGACACCGGACGTGAGTCACCGGGGTTCCCATGAGGATTAAGCGAGGCCACGGAGGCGTGAGGGCAAAAGCAAGCCCCTGCCAGCTTTGCCAGGAGGTGGCGGCCGGACGCCTCTAACTTCTCACTTGTGACGAAGCAAAGCTCGGCATAAAAACAAAAACTCTACATATTTTCTTACCAAAAAATTCAGGTACATCCTCCACAGTAAGGGGCACTGGCTGCCATTGTCGCTCCGCAACGCATTTTCAAACAGGGCTCTGATGCGATGTGTCAAGCCGGTCTCGGGAATTGTGGCGTGGACCTCTCTACCATCTACCCTGCAAGACACAGGCTCACGTAACTCCGAGGCCACTTCTCGCACCCACGGCGCCACAGGAAGAAGAGGTACGTTAGTGACGGCAGACAGCAGCATCGGCAGGACCAGAGTGTATCAGGGATGGTGCTGTCCCAGGTGTGGGGGCGCTAGGGGTGCAGAGTACAGACATGATGTGGCCCCTCCGAGGCCAGAGGAAGGCAGCGTCCAGGGTTGTGTGTTTTCTACACCAGAGTCTGCCTAGACATCACCCGCAAACTCCTTGCTCTCTGTTTTCTAAAGAAAGCCTACCCTCTGATCAGCAGAATGCAAATTCTACCTTATGGGGAGGAAAGTCCTTTCCATTTAAGGAAAAGAGAGTGACCAAAATCCCAACGGAAGAAATAAAAAATGAAGTGAAACACTGTTCAGAGGCAACTCTGAGTAGCCAGCTTCTACGAGGTCAGGGTGAAGCGACAGCAAAGATCTGGAAGGAACAATAATGCCTAAGCTAAGGTGTCCCCAAGACCACCGCCCGACCTTCAGACACAAACACTGTATCAAGAGGTAACAGTTAAGCCTGATACTATTACCATCTGGAACAACAACAGAGACTGGTAATTCTTTCCCACTCCCTCTGGACTCAGCACTCACCTCAGCGGCCCCTCCGAGCAGCCCTAAGAGGCAGGCTCTCAACTGTTCCCACGTTACAAAAGGGGAGCCCGTTACAGGTGACTGGACTTGCCCAAGGCCACACGGCTGGTAAGTGGAGGAATTGGGATCTGGATCCAGAGTCGTACTCCAGGCCCGGGCTCTTGGTCCATGTGCTAAGAGCACAGCTCCTCGGACAGCCGAAAGCCTGACCGTCACCGCCCACACGCCATAAGCAAGGGGTTCAGGATCCCAAAAAGCACGGCCTAGGGAGGCAGCCACGAAGGCCCCTAATGAAAGCTGTGGCCACTTGCAAGGCTCTTACTCCTCTTTCCACAGGTCATCCGCCATCACCCGGAACATCTACGGCGGGCGCTCCAGCCCCGGCCCATACTCACTTCCGGATCCCTGGGGCCCAGCAGGGCAGTGGGGACCCGGCAGGCGTGCCCCAAAGGTCTGTGGACACACGAACAAGATGTCCATACTCACCTCTGAACACTTTCCACCAGTCTCTTCCTCATTTTCTCGGCCTCGATCGCAAACAACCAAGGCTCCAAGAGTTTGGTAGACCTGGTGACCGCGTCGAAAAATCTTCTGGTCTCACTGGCTGTGTGGGACCTGCTCTGAATCTGCACGTATGCCCGCCAAAGCACCTGGTTGCCTGGGTACAACCTTAACGCCTCGGAGAGAGCCTGTCGCAGAGGAGCCAGGGGGTAAAGGCTGACTTTCGTGTGGAACCTGAGCAGGCTCGTGTGCATCAGCGTCACGGCCTCCAGCGCGCCGTGGGGGCCCTGGGCGCGGGCACCGTCCTCCGGGCCGGAGCCCCCGGGGGGAACAGAGCCCTTCAGTTTTGCGAACACCTGCTCGTACACCCGCACGGCCGCGTCGATCCCTACGGTCAAGTACTGAAAGAGCATGAAGCATTTTACCAGGCTAGTCAGGCGGTCGAAGGAGTCGCTGGGAGCCGGAGCGGACACACAGCTGTCGCCCAAACAGTCCTGCAGCGCGTGTTCGTACGCCTTCCGAGCTTTCAAGATGTGAACGGCCAGCGCCTGCCCAGAGTAGGGCCCGCAGGGCCCCTGCTCCGTCAGCCTGGTCAGTACGTGAACGGCTCGTGCCGTGGCGGCCCCTCTCGGGTCCGGCAACAGCTCCGCCTCCAGCCCGGCGTAGAGGAGGCCGAGCTCACACAGCTCACGGTCCCTCAGGTCTCTGCCCCCCGCCATGCTGAGCGCCGCATCGAACACCTTCCTGGCGTCCTCGGTGTTGCCAAGCAGCCACTCCAGATGTGCGTACTGCTTCCAGAGGCAAAAACTGTTGCGGTTTTCTGGCTCCTTCAGGAGGTTTTTGGCTAGTTTCTTGCAGTTCTTTCCCTGTGACTTTAGCCTCTTCTTGTTTTTAGTGTGCAGACACCAAATGACCTAGAAGTAAGAAGAAAAGGACTCCCGAGTGCCCTGGGATTTTACGGCAACCCCCCTGTACCGTCAGTGTTAGAAAGCCACACAGGTGTCGACACTTCCCGCCTTTCTCACATGTTTGGTAAACCCTGAGGCTCCCTGAGCTGGGAAACAATTCAGGATGGTACCGAGGCCACAGGCGCCCCCACACGACTGCATCCAAACCTCTATAAACAAGGCTCGTACACCCCAGTAGTCTCCTCCCGTGAGAGGTGGCCACCACATCTTATCAGACAGATACAACCTGGTGTGTGGATGGGCAGCTCAGGCGTCAGAACCGTGGGTGTTAAGATTCACCACTGACTGGTGACCGGCAGAGGGCAGAAGAGCTCCCCCTAGACAAATTTCTAGCAAATGGATACGAGGAGCAGGGTCAAGTAGCGTATTTTATCTGTTTTAATAAACCCCGAAATCCTCTAACCCCTGCTTACGCTTAGGCCTGGCTGTTCACACTAACTGCTCCTATAATCCCAGACATCTGGCAGCAGAAGTGCGAACACACACGGCCCCAGTCACTGGCAAGCTGCACCCTCCTTCCTCCTACCCACCCCCGCGGCCCCTCAGCAGGGGCAGCCACACACCAGGGGCCTCTGGGGTCCCTGAACAAGGAGGTGGTGTGGCCCAGTGCTCCGAGGAACACCAAGAGCCCCGTGATCATGTACGAAGCCCCCACGTGGGGTGGAGGAGGCCACAGTTACCTTCTCGATCTCGTACCGTAACCAAGAGAAGCAGAGCTGAGACCTCTCCCGGCCTGAAAACAAAGGCATCACAAGGTGAAAGATGTTGCGGATGAACTCCTCGCCCTCTCGATTGTGACCCCGGGTCCAGCGCCGGCGGCCCAGTGGGTCTGAGCAGCCAACACAGCTGACACCGGAAGAGGAAAGGTTGAGAAAAGTCAGTGGCATTTCGTCATGAAGCCCGTCATCGAAGATGCTGTTCTCATCCATGGCCAGGTAGAGGCAGGAGGCTGGAGGGCTGAGGCCAGAAGGCACGCCCAGGAACTGCAGAAAGGCCGCAACCAGCTGAAACTGAAGATCCTGGCTGGAAAGACGGATCATAGACTGGGCAATGTCATCAAACAGCACCTGCAAGAGAGACGAGATGAAGGGGCCTGCTCGGGAGCTCGGTTTGTCTACTGTGACAAACAGGGCTTCATGACTTTCCCCACAGCTCTTTTTACGTCGATGTGCTAATGACTCGAAATTATTCAAATTAAATTTTAAACGGACAAAAGCTAGGTTTCCTGAAAGATACAAAAAAGTCAGAGGCCTCACAGGGCTCCAGAGAGCTGGAGGGAACTGTTGGCAGGCTTAAGCCAAAACCTTCCAAAGGAGCCTAATGGATTCACAGAAAATCTAGAATCATACTCACTTCTGAAAGCACACGTATTTGCTTTTGTGGTTACTCTAAGTTAACGATAGTTAACACTGTTTATTGAGATAGAAAATAATTTTATTATTTGGTGATTTCCTTGTACAAAATTGTTTTCGGAAATGAAAACTATGCCCAAAAGGAGATAAAAAGTAGCAAGGCAGGAAGGAAAGGCAGCAGCCATGGACCACGAGGTAAGAGCAATTAGAAGAGAGAACGCTAACTGCAAATGTCCACAGATGATTTCATGCAGTAACTTGAAAAGGTAAGGCCACGGAGACCAGCCTTTGTCTGAGGGCGCTGCTGACCTGCTTGGTCCCTGTGGTTCTCAGCAAAGAGGAAAGCAAAGCACGAGCATAATAAAACTGGACGCCCTGGGGTTCTACTCGTCAGAACCGTCAGTTAATCAGAAAGCTGTTCTACTCCAGGCTCTGATTGGAGGAAAAGCTAAGGGACAAGGAACGGCTCACAGCAGCAGTTTGGTCCAGAGATGAACTTCCAGAAAATGGCTGGAATTCTGAGCCTTGAGAACGAACTTCTGGAAGGGTGACCCTGAGCGCCATAAAACCCAAACACCAAGACCTTACTCCTCCCGACACAATCAGCTTTGGCCGGAAAAGGGACTCGCCTGGCGATGGGCCATTCACCAAACATCCGAGAGTGGAGTGGAGGTTTCCCTGAAGTCAGCCCCTCCTTCCTGCGCAGAGCTCCCCACTTTCCTGATCCTAACTGCAGTCTGGCCACCCCATTCGCCACACCCCAAACATTCCAGGCACCCATGCTGACTCCTCTGCCTGGAGCAGATCTGGCTTCAAATATTCACTCACCATCCAGGAACATTAGCTGAGCACTCGCCCCAAGAAAAGCACCGTCCACGCACTGTGACCCGGCAGCAGGCAAAAATCCCCACCCTCAAGGCAGGTAGGTTGTGAGGGTCACAGACCACAAACCAGGCCGAAGCCAACAAGCCTCGCCACTGCAAACACTCCCCGCCCCCTGGTCTGTACCTAGAACATGCTGTGAGCCACGCAGTATAGTTGGTGTCTTACGAAACTGGGTCAGTTTCAGGTCTCAAAATAGAATCTCTTCCTTTAATGTAAATCGTCAGAGCTGCTGGTCACTAGACACAGCGCAGCACAGACCAAGGCATTCGATGATAGTGAGATAATGTGAGACGTAAGTCAAGGACTCGGTAAGTCAAGACGTAAGCCAGGACTCGGTAAATGCTACTTCCCTCCCCAGCAAGACAAGCGGTACACTGACTGTCCCGACACAGCCTCTCCATCCAGGTCCTCTTGTCTTCTGGAATCAAACCTATCGGCTGTACCTCTGAGGATCCCAGAGTGCTGCGGGGAAAGTGGACGCGGTTAAAGAATCTAGGACGGCGATACCACGTTTTAAAACCCTGAGTCCTCAGGCTTCTGTGTGAAAAAGTAACTGAATAACCTGGAAGACAATCTCCGGGGAAGCCTGCCCTCCTTACCTGGGGACAGGAACTACCTGGTCAAGTTCCTCCAAGCTCCCACACCACCAGTGGCCCAGGAGGTTCCCACAGACAGAAACAGGAGCAAAAGCTAACATCTCCCAAGCCAGGCGAGTGCTCAGACAGTGAGCTCAGCAAGCTTCTTTCAGGTAACCAGACCCCAGGGGAACGGGGAGAAGGCAGAGACCCCAAGGCCGGCCTCCCTCCTGGGCCGGGGGACCTGCCTGTCTCTCTGGATCCTCACAGTCTTCCTCGGTTTGCTTCTTGGTCTTATCAGGGCGCCACGGCCGCCAGTGCCTCTGGTCTCGGGACCGCTCGGTGGCAAGCCAGATCTGCCACCTGGGCAGACTCTTCTCTCTTATTTCCTGGTCCTCATCTTCTGGCTCATCATCATCATCATCTAGACAAGAACGGGACTTTTAGCCCCCCTCACCAGCCACAGACACCCAACCGCTCTGCTATGCCAGCTGCTGTGGCAGGCCCTGGAATGCCATGATGAGTAAGACCCAGGCCCAGCCTTCTGGGACACTCAGGGACTCAGAGGCACCGAGGGACTCTGCTATCATCCATCAAATCCCCAAAACTCCCTGGAAGATTAACCAATGAAATCACATGATTTTTAATGCTATCACAGCAATTAAAATGGGAATACACACATTATAGAACGGCACTGCCCAAGAGGACTTTCTGTGATAATGACATAATATGTACCCATGTGTCTAATACGGTAGCAACCAGCCACGTGACTTACTGGGCCCCTGAAATGTAGCTGATACCAGAACTAAATTTTTTATTTCATTTTAATTAAAATGGCCACATGTAGGGGCGCCTGGGTGGCTCAGTCGGTTATGTGTCTGGAACCGTCTGGCTCTTGGTTTTGGTTCAGGTCATGATCTCACGGTTCATGGGTTTGAGCCCTACATCAGGCTCTGCCGCTGACAGCGTGGAACCTGCCTGGGCTTCTCCCTTTCCCCACTCTCTCTCTCTCTGCCCCTTCCCTGCTCGCTCGCTCTCTCTCAGAATAAATAAACTTAAAATAAAATAAAATGGTCATATGTGGCTAGTGCCTACGTATTTGGACAACACAGTTCTAGAACGCTAAATGATAGTTAATGACAGCACTGGTTCAGCCTTTCTAAAGCCACCAGAATTTTCAGCCAGTGGCCTTATGACTACAACTGGTGTCCACTTCTCAAAAAAAGGTAATTCAAGATTATCCTGTACTTTCATTTTGTTTCCTAATTCTGAACATGCAGAATGGAAGAGGAGAAAAGTTCAATATTTAAAAATAAACAAACAGGATATATACATTGGTACAGCCACGCAGAAAACAGTTGGCAGTTTCTTATAAAACTAGACACGCACTTATTCAAAGACCTGGCAACTACAGTCTTTGGTGCTGATCCCAGAAAAATGAAAACCTACGTACACACTAACACCTGCACACTAACACCCACGGCAGCTTTATCCATAGTGGCCAAGCCCTGCAAACACTCCAAATGTCCCGCAGTAGTAGGTGAAACGAGCTGATTCGTCTACACCTACTATTCACAGTAAATGTGAATACACTATGGACGCGTCCAACAATTCAGACGGATCTCAGGGGAATGATGCTAGGTGAAAAAAAAAGTCAATCTTAAGAAGTCACACAGAACACAAATTTTGGTGAGGATGTGAAGAAACTGGAACCCTTGTGCACAGGTTGGGGAGAACAGAAGATGGTACAGTGCTCTGGAGAACAACATAGCGGTGCCTCGGAGAAGTTTTTAAAACTACCACATGATCCAGCATTGCCACTTCTGGGCACACGTGCAGAAGAACTCTAAGCAGGTTCTCAGAGACACGTGTACTCCATGTTCACAGCTGCAAAAGGTGAAGCAACCCAAGTGTCCGTGGACAGGTGAACGGATAAATAAAATGTGGATGCCATTCAGACTTAAAAAGGGGGTACTGAGGGCCGCCTGGGTGGCTCAGTCGGTTGAGCATCTGACTTCAGCTCCGGTCATGATCTCACGGTTTGTGAGTTCGAGCCCCTCATCAGTCTCTGTGCTGACAGCTCTGAGCCTGGAGCCTGCTTTGAGTTCGGTGTCTCCCTCTCTCTCTGCCCCTCCCTGCTCATGTCTTGTCTCTCTCTCTCTCAAAAACAAACAGTAAAAAAAAATTTAATTAAAAAAAAAAAGGAGGTACTAACACATGCTACACGTTGGACAAACCTGGAAGACATTATGCTAAGTGGAATAAGCCAGTCACAACACAACAAGTACTGTCTGATCCCACTTATCTGAGGTTCCTAAAATAGTCAAATTCAGAGACAGGAAGTAGCATGGTGGCCGTCAGCCGGGGTGGGGTAGGGTGGGGAGAGGAATGGGGAGTCACTGCCTAATGGGTACAGAGTGCCAGCTGGGCAAGATGAGGAGGTTGAGGAGATGGACAGAGGTGAAGACAGTTGCACAAGAGTGTGCACGTAGTTAATGCCACTGAGCCATATATTTTAAAATGCTTTTTAAGTGGTAAATTTTGTGTGAATTTTACAACAGAAAATTGTTGTATCTAACGTGTAAAATAACGTGACAACATAATAACAGGGGTGGAGGGCAGATCAGTGGTCCTCTGCGGTGGGCGTGGGGGCGGACATGGCTATCAGGCACAGCATCAGGGAGCCCGGTGGTGACGAATCGTTCTCCGACAGCGGGGGTGGTTACAGGAAGCCATGCCTGCGATTAGGCTGCACAGCACCAAACACGCAAGCAAATGAGAGCTCGTCAAGCCATGAGATGCGGGGGTGCGCACGCACACTCACACACGCACGCACGCGCACACAGGGGACCGCCCCAGGGTCACTTCCAGGCTGTGCGACTGCACAGTCGCTGGTGGGCCCTGGGGCGGGGGGAGGGGGCACAAAACCTCCCTGTGTATTTTCCAACTTCCTGTGAATCTCTATTTCAAAATAAATGAGTAACAAGAACTCCAGAGAATTTAAAGGCATGATGTGTACATTAGCATTTTAAAGTTTATTTATTTATTCTGAGAGAAAGAGTGCGAGTGGAGGATGGGGAGAGAGAGAGAAAGAGAGAGAATCCCAAACAGGCTCTACACTATCAGCACAGAGCCCAATGTGGGGCTTGAACTCACAAACCATGAGATCATGACCTGAGCCCAAGTCAGATGCTCAACCAACTAAGCCACCCAGGCGCCCCTGTACATTTGCATTTTAAACTCAATATTCTATCTATGGCTCAGTCGGCTGAGCGTCCGACTTTTGCTCAGGTCATGATCTCACAGTTTGTGGGTTTGAGCCCCACATCGGGCTCTGTGCTGACGGCTTGGAGCCTGGAGCCTGCTTGGGATTCTGCGTCTCCCTCCCTCTCTGTCCCTCCCCCACTCATGCTCTCTGTCTCTCAGAAATAAAAATGTTTAAAAAAATTTTTTAATAAATAAATAAAATAAACTCAATATTCTATCTAAACACTCTTCTGAGTTATCAAAGAAAGGTAAAATTTAACTATTTATCACCTTCTAAAGACTTACATTTAAGGTAACCCTTTAACCACACTGAAAACCTCTCACCATTAAGAGAAATCACCTGTGAGTCACACATCAGACTTAGATACCTGAACTTATTACATTAGAAATTCAAAAGATTACATGGTTTTGGAAAGACATATATAAATATGTAACAACACAGACTAACAGAAAGTGAGGGTGAGAGAGAAGAAATAAGCTGTGATGTATGAAGAAAAAACACCTCAGAATCAATGATAAATACCAACTACACTCTAAATGCTGACCTTGTCAAGATGGACAAGAAAACTTAAAAATAAAGCAAAAACAAAGAATAGTTATCATTTCATTTTTCTGGAAACAAGAAACGGTCAGCCTTTCTTCTGATCCTGTTGGTTTTCTGGAAGGATCCCACTAAATTCATTTAACTCAATAGAAGATTCTCCATAACGGAAACGCCAACTTATGTCCGTAACTTGACATTAAAAATCAGGGTTTTACCACTTGCATTACCTTTCTGGGAAAACAAACTTCACATCTGATTATGAGTAACTATTGGACCTTTGAGCACCTTTCAGAGAAGTAATGTTAACTTGGTCCCTGGACACTGCTATGAGAATTCTACTTTCTTCTCACAGAACATGGTAAACCTTAGAACATAAATTCCATGCACTTTAAGAGTCTTGCCCATTAAAACAAAAACAAAAAAGCAGCCGAAACACAGAGAGGCATGCTGAGCTGGTAACTCAAAGAGAAGTTACCACCAGAAAGACTTCCATTTTCTGGTCCTTCATGGGTCTTGCAGACTCACTGGCTTAAGAGGGTAACACCTACAAACATTTTGCCCTGCAGGTCATTTTTCTTCATATAGGAACCCCTGGCGAGCCTGAAGAACGTTTCCAGTTCTCTTTGGGAAATAACACTCCAGGAGAGTCAAAGTAGCTGAGCCAAGCGAGTGTGACCTTCCCTGTGCCCCAGCAAAGCTGCTCCGGGCACCTGAAGGGCCAGACTGGCCGCCCGGCCTGGAGCGCTGCACAGCCACACTGACCGCGGCTAATCCAGAGTTTTCGTTCCTCAGGTGAAGAAGCCACGGCCAGAAGGGTGACGTGTGTGAGGAGGGGCCCCCTTGCACTTTCAACAAAACCAGGGTGTGAAATCCCAAGGAGCTGAGAGCTGCACTGGCCAGTACGACAGCCGTGCACATGCGGCTACGGGGCCCTTGGAAGTGGCAAGTCTGAACTGAAATGTGCTAGAAAGTGTAAGATACACACCAGACTTCAAAGAGCTTGTATGAAAAAAAAATGCAAACTATCCCAATGTTTAAATTATTAGTTACATGTTGAAATATTAAGGTTTTGACACACTGGGTTAAACAAAATATATTCCCATTAATTTCACCATTTTACCTTTTTATTATTATTTTTAGTTTTTTATGTTTATTTATTTATTTTTTTGAGAGAGGGGGAGGGAGAGAGAAATCCCAAGCAGGCTTCGCACTGTCAGCATGGAGCCCGATGAAGGGCTCAAACCCACGAAACCATGAGGCCATGACCTGAGCCGAAAGCAAAAGTTGGACGCTTAACCGACTGAGCCACCCAGGCGCCCCACCATTTTACCTTTTCAATGTGGCTCCTAGAAAATGTAAAGTTATTTTTGTGGCTCGAATTATGTTTTCTATTGGACAGTGGTGTCTTAGGGTGTAAATCTGGAACGTGCTTTGGGGTCACTTAGAATGCGTTACACAAATGCTAGTTAATATTTCACAGTATTCCTAAACAGGCAAGTGTTTGTCAAAGGATTTGTTGGTCTGTCCACTGCCAAGGAAAGAGAAAGACTGACTTAAGTACACATTAAATGGGGCAGGGAGAGGGGGGATTAGTAACAAGATTACTTCTTCAGGAGCAACCTTATAAAAGGAAAAATGAAAATTACTGCCCTTGGAAAGAAACTCGAACCCTCCAAAGGCCTGGGGGGTTGAGTGAAAGACCCTAAGGGTGAGGGACAGTCTATTCTCCAAATGCAACCACTTGATGTATTTTTGACATTCAATGTTCTTCAGGACTAATAAACAGCTTACACATATAAAGAAATAATCATGAAGATACGAAAACACATTCCAGAAGAAAAAGGCGGAGGCATACGCATCCTGAGAGGCGCCTTACCTGGACTGATGACCACCCAGCCGCCCCGCTCCTGCTGGTGCATCCACGCTCTCCAGCCTCGGGCGCCCTTCTCGCCAACCCGGGGCTCCCCACTGTCCCAGAAGGGCTCAAAGAATTCCACCTGTTCAGGTTGAAGATATGGAGTTAGCCTAAGTTGTACAACACTGCTGAGTCACTGAGCAGAGTGCGTTCTGACTGGCGTAAGAGGGGCTCATGGCAGAAATCTTGCTCGCCATCAGTCTTCCTAGTAGATATGGGATACATCCCCAAAATAGAAAAAAATAATTACGTAGTGTGGTGGGCAGCCTCCAAAATAGCCCCCCAGGACCCTGACCCCTGCCCTGTGGCTTTCACACCCCTGAGCGAGGGCTGGACCCAGTGACTTACAACGAACACAATACGGCAAAAAGTGACAAGCTACCACTTCTGAGAACCAGTGACAAAAAGACCAGCCGTGGTCACCGAGAAGGGCCTCCAGCTGAGTGGGAGAGGAATGGTTTCCCAGCTCTGATCCTGCTGTAGAACAGTCTAACTGGGAACAGTGACACCGCCGGTTCCCTTAAAGCCACTGGGCCCCTGAATACCTGAAATCGTGTTGCTTTCCAGGCCTTCTGTGGGGAAGGGGGTCGATTCAAAGTTTCAACAGGACAGCCTGGGAGCTCCTGATGGCATGACCTCTCAACTCTGTGTTCCTAACTGGCACAGTGCCCAATACATAGTAGGGACTCAATAAACGCTTGTCGGCAGAGAATGGCACATGGCAGGCATCTGGTGAAGAAAATGGCCTGCATGTTAAAGCCAGGCCCTGGGATCACACCTCAGCTCTCACGCGTTTGGGGCATTAGGTCCGCTGTGTGTGGACCCCAGTTCAGTGCGGTAATTCCCCGTGGAAGAGAAGTGATCACAGCCACGAACAGGAGAGCCATCGTCTCGTCAGCTGACAATAAGGACTTTAAAAGTGAACCAACGACTTGCTCAATGGAAGCTTTTATAAGAAACGTTTTGAAGAGGACGAGGTGGCCCACGGCCCAGGAGCCGCGGGACCATCCAGCCTGAGCCTGGAGGAGCACCACACACACCGGGAAGAGGGCCGGGTCCCCGCACCGAGGGCCCGTCAGCCACCTCGGGAAGGGGAGCTGGGAAGACCACCCCCCTCTCCACGGGTCTTGTTCTTCCAGGAGGGATCGAAGAAAGTCACTCAAGAAAAAGAAGTGTATCTTTTTTTTTTTTAAGTGTGACGGTGATAACCAATTTATTCATCCCACTGACACAGACCAGACTCTGCTTCTTTGATGTTATGCCGTGTATGGTAACGAGGTCTCTCAGTTATAAAGATATGGTACGTCATCAAAGAGAAAGCCTTATTTCAAAGTTGCCTTGCAAGTGCTTTGAGACTACGTGTGCTACTAATATTTAAAATCTCCAGAGTGTGCAACAGTGGACACTCTGGGCGAGTGGCTCTTGACGCTTCACAGTCCCGGGCAGTGCCCTCCCCACAAGTCGCCGTCCTCGTCACAGACAGCGAGTGTCGGCAAAGGGTGGCAATGAGGGCCATTCCGATCCTGCCCCCGCAAGCACACACCCTGTGCCCCGCAGTCAGCTAAGACTCACGTCTACGGCACGGCATATTCCTAAAATAGCAAAGCACGTCTTAAAGTAATGTTGTTATCCGGCTTATCATACTGCTAATCAGTTGTACTAATATTAACCAATATTCTTTAACCCAATTTTGCCTAGGAAAAAACGGATCAAAATAATGACGATAAAAATAGTCTTCAAATGCAATTCATGGACATTCCACAAGATGGAGACCTCAGCCTCTCAAGACCTCTGTTTAAGTTCACCATAAATTCAGCTATCCTGCCCATCTTCCACCGGAGCCCCTTCGCAAAGCAGGAAACTGAGATTTCTTCCAAGGAAAAAGGGAAAGGCAGGCTTTCGTATACGGCTCTGCGGTAGAATGTTTTTACTGCTTCAACATCACAAATATGGGCAATGTTCATGCGCCACCTAAATGATAACAGATCCCCCGTTAGGACGTGTGTTGACAAACCAGCACCAAGTAACAGCGTTTGCAATTCCCACGAAGATCTTAGGTGGTGGAAATGCTAACTGGGGAAATGACGCAAGACCGAATTTCAAACGCACGAAGGCAGGACAGAGTTAAGATGTGACTTCAGAAGCGTAACAATTGCTTCTCCGCCTGGTGAGGACAACGAGCACTGAAACAAAGCTCCTAAGAAAAAAGGGGGGACATAGTGAGTCTTTATATGGGGCGGGGGGGGGGGATCCTTCATCTCTCCATGTTTCACCACCTTCATTATGGAATTTTCCTTGGATCACCACAATACTCTGAGAAATAATTCTCAGCAAGACTGATACAAAGGAGCACAGGATATTTGAAAAATACCAGCACCATCTCCCAGGATCCACACTTGCCCCCAGAAGAGAGAAGAACGGGAGAGGGAGGAGAGAGGGGGGTGGGCCACGCAACCAGAACCCCCACCTGTCCTTTGGTGGGCAGGTCTTTCACACTGTCGGGTTTGAAGAAGGTGAAGTCGACCATGGCCTGGAACAGAGAGACCGCCTTCTCAGAGTGACCAGCCTGCCGCAGGAAGTGGCATTGCTGAAGAAAGAGACCTGAAAACGGGGAGAGAAGGGAGACTCCTGTTAACAGCATCAAAGGGAAAGAACACAGCTTCTAAAGCATGCATTCTGGGGCTCCTGGGTAGCTCAGTCGGTTGTCTCCGACTCTTGATTTTGGCTCAGGTCATGATCCCAGGGTCATGGGATCGGGCCCCACATTGGGCTCTGTGCTCAGCATGGAACCTGCTGGAGATATTCTCTCCTTCCCTCCCTCCCTCCCTCCCTCTCTCTCCCTCCACTTCCCTCCCTCCCTCCCTCCCTCTCTCTCTCATCACCCTCTGCCCTTCCCCCTGCCCCTCATCCCCTCTCCCCCCGCCCCCTACCCTCCTTGTGCACACTCACTCACACTCTCTTTCTAAAAATAAATAAAAAACAAACAAAAATGTGCATCTCCACACCGAGAATATCTTTTCTCCAAATTTAGTTACTGTGGTAATTTCAAAGCTGTAATAACACATGTCCTTATTAAAAGGATTCACAATGGTACTGTAATCAAATGATGTACATTTATCCCAATTTTTATATGAAACCATCGTGGAATACAAATACTGACAAAAACTACATATGTTATAGGAAAAGACGGCAAAAGGTTGGTCTGAACAGTTAATCAAATATTCAAAGCTCGTTATGCCACGAAAAATTCTCGGGAGAGGATGATGTAGGTTGTCATCAGAAAGCAGAGAAGTGTGCCGAAAGCTAGATGGCAGTAACCATCGGCAGCTTTCATCAACTCTTCAGAGTCAGCTGTAAGCAAATCAGGGTTCCATGCTCGAAGACGTTGGTTTGTCTCAACTGTGGTACAATTCCATTTACTAAATACTACTAAGCTGTATGAGCATACCGCAAACGATATCAAACATGTTTATTATTTCTGGAGCGATATATTTCTATCTTTAGAAGGTAACAGAAATAGCAAGGTTTTGACCAAATAAATGCCTGCTGTGTGCCACACACTGAGCTGTCTCAGGTAATGTGCAGGTAATGTGCTCAATAACCCTCCAAAACAAGTACTATACCACTGGTGCTGAGGGAGAAACTGGCACTCAACCAGGTTCACGAACAGGCAAGGTTACCAGGGAAGGGCAAACCCAGGGTTCGAGTCAAGAGTGATATTCTCCAGCTCCTGCTTCACATGCTGCCTTCGGTAGCTCACTACTGGACACAGTTTCTATTCTAGCCTCCTTTGGGACACACCAGAATGGTTAACAGCAAAATAAGAGCTGCTGCTATGCAGGGGCGCCTGGGTGGCTCAGTCGGTTTAGCGTCCGACTTCGGCTCAGGTCATGATCTCGCAGTTTGTGGGTTCAAGCCCTGTGTTGGGCTCTGGGCTGACAGCTCAGAGCCTGGAGCCTGCTTCCGATTCTGTCTCCCCCCGCCCCTCCACCCGCTCATGCTCTGTCTCTCTCTCAAAAATAAACATTAAAAAGAGGGGAGCGCCTGGGTGGCTCAGTCGATTAAGCATCCAACTTCAGCTCAGGTCATGAATTCCATGAACTCGTCAGTTCTTGGGTTTGAGCCTCGCGTCAGGCTCTGTGCTGACAGCTCAGAGCCTGGAGCCTGCTTCAGATTCTGTGTCTCCCTCTCCCTCTGTTTCTCTCTCTCTCTCTCTCAAATAAAGATAAAAAAAAAAAAAAAAAAAAAAAAAGAACTGCATCTACACAACGACCTCCAGTCAGCTGGGGCTTCCCCCTGAACACCACAGCCTGAGATCCTAGAACGGGGGAGACGGCCAGACAAGCACCTCCACAGAGAAGGTCACGGACAGCCAGAACATTCCAGACTTCTCTAGGTTTCCTCGGTTAACAAGCAGAAAGGCTGGAACTTCCAGACCAGTGATACTTCTCTAACTTTACTGGCTCTAATGCCCCCGCCCCCGACCAAGAAGCTGGAAAGGGGAACATCTGTGGTAATCACAAGGAATTCCAATACTTTCTTGTTTAAATCAGTTTTATCCATGTCGACACTTCTAAAGTAAAGCAAAACTAAGTGTTCATTTCTGACGAAAGCCGAAAGAAAGGAGAGCTCCCCCCAGACAAAGGGATCTGGTCCTCGGCTTCTTACCAAACATGGCGTCCTCGGTGCCTGGCAGGGCGGGGTGCGATAAGATGCTGCCGTCCTTCACGGCAGACAAGGTGCTCAAGCACTTGCCGTACAGACCGTGAATTTTTGACACCGTAAAGGTGCTAAACTGGCTCTGGCAAAATAAAAGGTATTTCTGCCACAGGGCTGTATCGTTGGGATGCAGAAAGATCAGTTTCTGCCACTCTTTGGCCAGGGCAGAGGGCTCCCAGAACTCGGAGCAGAGCTTCAGCTTGGCGAGTTTCAGGTCCACGCTGCTCTGGTTGCTTTCGATGGCCCGCTCCAGGATGGCCAGCTTCTTCTCCAGAACGAGCCTCAGAGACCGCTTCCGCTTTTCCTGCTCTCCTTCCTCGATGGCATACAGGCCAGGGCTCTTTATGACCTCGTCCTCCAGACAAAAACATCAAGTTACAAACGCGAACGGCAGTAGGGGAGGCTCAAACGCTCACTGCCAGGACAGAGACGCTCACAGCCCTTCCGGGCCGCACCGCCCGTCACCTCTCAGAATCAATCGTTAGTCCTGCTTTCTTGATAAGCATTTATCAGTGTTGTGTTTTGTTTTGTTTTGTTTTTGTCTTGAGTGGAAACTCTGCTACTGGGGCACCTATGTCACCTGGTATGTTTGATCTTGCGTTTATTTCCCTGTCTACGCTCTGGCATTTCAAACTTCGATCATGTATCAATAGCCAGGGTGCAGTATCTTGGAAACTGCTTCCCAAGAGCCAACTTTACCAATAAAACAGCCAAATGTGAGGCAAAATAGGATAATGGTACATGTGGTTCAGCAACAGAGAAGTAGGACGAAGACAAAGCCATGTACTTTGGGACGGGAGCAGCACAGCTCTGACCAGGGAATGGTGTGAACACCACCTTCTCCCCTGGACTCTGCGTGTTTTGCGCGCTGTCTATACCTCACGGGTACATCTCCCTGCCTGGTGAACGTCTACTCTTCTTTCCAGATTCGGGTCAGATTTCACCTTCTTCTGGAAGCCCTTTCTCACTCCCTAGTAGCAGGTCACTCCCTCATCCCACCCCCAAGTTTTGCACGGAAGCACGCGCTACCCCACACTGCATTTATTCAGTCTGACCAAGTTCAGGGCGAGGGCTCCAGTCTAATCATCCTCAAACGCCCAGTGCCAGGGTTCCTCCCAGGGGCTCGAAAACCGCGGCACAGCAAATCTGTTTTCCCCAAACTAGGACAGTCACTCCGGTAGGAGAACTGGGACGGCGACACTTACCTGAAAAGCAACAAATGCCATCCACAGCTGAATATCCCGGGGATTCTCCCGAACTCTCCTGTTAAACTCCTCCACCTTGGCCTTGAGCAGGGCATGCTCTCTGTCTGTCTGTGAGTCTGGCCGCTTTGATTCTTGCTCTGAAGGACCCTGTCCTTGTAACCACTGTGTGGTGGACTGATCGTAAATCCCCAGAGGGTTCAGCCAGGTCGTAACAGGAGGAACCACATCATCCGAGCCCTTCACTGGGATAAATGAGACCGGCTCAGATGAGGGAGGTTCGGTTTTACCGCCAACGGCGACTCCGTCAACGTTCATCAGTCCCACGCTCTTCTTCGTGAAATAGCGCTCGACATGCTTGCGTGAGTGCTTCTTTTCTGTGGCAGCCCCCTCCCAGGATATGCACTGCTTCTTAGGGTTAATGCCAAGGCAGGAGTCTCCTTTCCTCTTGTATCTTATATTTGCAAAAGAAAAGAAGACACCGAGGGCGTTATGTGCACAGACTCTGCACGGGCGAAGGCTCAGCTCAGCAGACCTCGGCTCTCGTTAGACAAGTTAACTACATGTATTCAAATTCACCTCACCTTCAAACTGTTTCTATTTAGAGAAATATGAGAATTAGCAATTAACTTTTTCTGTGTTTGACTTATTCCCCTAAACACTTCAATTCTTTGTTAACATCTCATGAATTTAAGATCGTGCCTGTCCTCCAGATTCTAGTAATTTCTGTTTTCCTGGAGCTTTGTAAAGTACTGCCCCACACGTTTCGTCATCGGTCATCACAATCATACATACCCAGGCAAGGGAGAAATCCTCATCCCCTTTTACACCATTGCTAAGGACACTGAAACCCTGGGTGATAATGTGTCATCTGTCTCCTAGACCAGTCCCTTTTCTTCAATGTGGTCCTGCATCTCCACTTAAGAAGAAAATGGAGAGGGCTAAAATTGTAGTTTTAGTCCTGAAACAAAAGTATGTTGGACAAAGTTACATTTGGCTAGTTTCTACTCCAGGGGAAAAGAGTCTGGGTTCTAAAATGCTTTTATGGGACATGTAGATGTCCCCAGAATTACAAACACAGGACCACCGAGTATCTGCACAAAAGCTAAGGGAAAGTGTGCACTTTTCTGTACGCACGTTATACAAACAGTCAAGTAAAAAATGGGCAAAAGATCTGGAAGGAATTCACCAAAGAGGACATGAATGGCCAATAAGCACACGCAGAACTGCTCAACACCATTAGTCATGACGGAAACGCAAGTTAAAACTACGAGATACACAGCATACCCACCAGAACTGCTAAAATTAAACACTGACTCTCATGTGCTGTTAGTGAGAATGTGAGTTGGTACAATCACTTCGGGGAAAGGTCTGTAAACTAAACTTAGACTTACCAACTGTGACCCAGCGATTCTATTTTAGGTATTCACCCAAGAAAAAGGAAACTGCATTTCTACACAAAGACTTGGGCTCAAATGTTCTCAGTAGCTCTATTCATAACAGCCAAATACTGCAGAGTCCAGACGCTCAGCAATGAAAGAACAGATAAACAACGGTATGGCCACACAATAGAGGACGACCGGCAGCGAAAAGCAACGAAGTACCGATAAATGCCACAATGTGGCTGAATCTCCAAAACATCACACTGAATGAAAGGAGCCAGACACGAAAGGGTGCAGACTCCATGATTTCAGTTAGACGGAATTCCAGAACAGGCAACGCTAGTTAATGATGGGGAAAAAAATCAGAACAGCAACTGCCCCTGGGGAGATGGGGAGGGGACTGAATGGAAAAGAGCGTGAGGAGACGTTCCGGGGTCACGTTAATGTTCTCTATTTTCATAGGGGGCTGGGTTATACAGGTGTATCATGAAGATTTGTGTGTTACACTGTATGCAAATTTTAAGTCAAAAGAAAAAAATGAAACAAATCTTGAATGCTAGTTAATGACATGCATTCTGAAGCATGGAGGGGGCAGCATACTGATGCTGGCATCAAATGAACAAGGTGGGTTAGAGGATGGACGAACAGATAAATATGTGATCAGGCGAGGGCAGCAAGATGTTAATGGCAGAACGTAGAGGGTGGGAATACGAGCTTCTTTCAACTGGTGCTGTATTTTTTTTTTTTTTTTTTAATTTTCGTTAACATAATGCTGTGGGGAGCAGCATGAGCAGGAGAGAGCTGCCGCTGTCTACTGTCCTCTTCCAGAAAAATCTGTCTCCACCATCTCCTGGTCGAAGCCCAGCAGCTCCTTTGCCTCCCCATAGTCAACAGGTGCCTGTGAAGCCTCCCTCACCGCTCACACACGCCCGTTCTCTTTACCGTCTCCCCTGGCTCCTCCTAGGTTACTTCCTGACGGTCTCTCCCCAGCCTAGTCCATAGAGTGGTCAAAACAATTTTAAGGTCTCCCCTTCATGACTATTTTGTTTTCACTAAAAATGAATGGTACTACGACATTCACATAATCTGTTAAAAAAAGGTTTACAGAGTTTTCTGACGTTAAAGTGCATTTTGTAAAACCGATTTTAAGAGCTGTACTTTATAACAGATGAAAATGATAAAGGAGAAGGAAAACAATCTTACTGATATATATCAAGTGCCTACTTTCAGATATGTGAAAATAGTTTTAAAAATAGTTGATGTTAGGGGCATCTGGGAGGCTCCGTCGGTTAAGCGTCCGACTTTGGCTCAGGTCATGATCTCACAGTTCGTGGGTTCGAGCCCCGCATCGGGCTCTGTGCTGACAGCTTGGAGCCTGGAGCCTGCTTCTGATTCTGTGTCTCCCTCTCTCTCTGCCCCTCCCCTGCTCACATTCTGTCTCTGTCTCTCAAAAACAAAATAAATGTAAAAATAATAATAATAATAATAATTTATAAAAAAAAATAGTTGATATTAGGGACATCTGGGAGGCTCAGTCGGTTAAGCGTCCGACTTCGGCTCAGGTCATCATCTCAAGGCTCGTGGGTTCGAGGCCCGTGTAGGGCTCTGTGCTGACAGCTCAGAGCCTGGAGCCTGCTTCGGATTCTGTGTCTTCTTCTCTCCCTGCCCCTCCCCTGCTCATGCTCTGTCTCTCAAAAATAAATAAATGTTAAAAATAGTTGATATTATGGCTTCAGGCTTTCCTCCCTACTTTAAGCACTTTGCCACACCATTAGTTTTAGCAAATATCATTTTTATTGTAAAGCTTTAAATTGGCCCACTGGAGGGGTAAGCCCTCATTTAAGTTAACGTCCTTCTATTTGGGTTTTATCTAATTTATCACTTGTCATAGAATCTTAATTGGGCAAAACCTAGGATGTAATTTAATGCAATATTCCTCCAAAGGAAGGCATGTTTCCTGTAAAATCCTTATCAAATAGTCAGCTGGTCTTACCTGAATAATTCCAGAAGGAATTATTGGAGATTCAGTGAAGGATATCAATGGACATTTAATTTAAATGAATTCAGCTATTAAGGAAAAGGGAAGCGATGGGAAGGGAAGAGAAGGGAAGAAAGAAAAGAAAAAGGGACAGGGTATGGGAAAAGAATATATTTAAATCAAGCATAGAATTCTGCCCTGAATCCACTGAGTGGCTCTGAGTCCCAGAGTGAGCTGTGCAATAATAAATTTGCCTTTCTTTCAGTGACTTCAATTCACACATGGCTCTCATGGTGGCAGTCACCTGGGTCCACATTCCAACCCCATCATTTACTAACAAGATGACCCTGACCAAGCTATTTCAAACAAAAAACAAAAACCTGTCTGTGCCTCAGTTTCCTCATCTGTGAAACGGAAATAATGGTACCCATGTCATAGAAGAGCAGGGACGATCAAAAAAGTTTATAAATTTGAAGTCCTTAGCCATATAATAAGGACTAGGTAAGTTTAAGTTATTATTATTTTATAAGACTTGGCTCTTAAACATAAGCCAACTATTTCATCTGGTATACAGCCAAAGAAACAATCCATTCCAAAAATGGATTAAAACTGAGCTGAACTTCACTGACAGCCAGGATGTTAGTCCTAAGGCATTTTCCGAAGGTAATTCTGACTCTTATACACAAACCCTAGGTCCCGTTCACTACAATACTCTAACACACACCAGGTCACTGCTGGGATGCTCCCACGATGAGAACATTTGCTCTGATACTGAGCCCAATCTTTCTGGAACTTCCACTCATTGGTCCTGGCTCTGCCTTCCCAAGTTACACAGAACGTTGCCAACCCACCTTCCAAAGACGGTCCAGCAAAGCTTAAAAGACAGTGACCATGCTGCTGTCACAAGCCAAATACCCACAAGCCCTCATCTGGTCCTCACAGGACAGTGCTAGCCAAGTCCTCTCAATGCTCCTGAGTTGTCACTGCCCCTAAGTGTGAAAATTCACAGCCTGACAAAACACCCCCTGTTCTCTGACCAACTCACAATGCTGTGGGATCAATACCTTCCGAGATCTGGACATTTAACAGCTGTACAGCCATTAATCCGGTCAAGACTTATCTCCCCTAAACTTTAGGAATTAACTGGAAAATAACACCAATGCCCAAGCCCTTCCCATAGTATCTTTGCAATTCAAATGAATAAACTTGTCTCATTACTCTCTTCCTAAGATCTGGGCCGTTCATTAGCACAGATTTAAGAGCCACTCACTGTGAATACTTTTCCCTTTTCATCTATTAATAAATAATGCCTCTTTATTTTTGCAAACCGATTTCTAATTCATATCCATTATCTCTGATATCTCAGTGCAAGACTCAGCAGGAGTTAACAAATGAAGAAACAGAGGCTCAGACAGGGTAAGGGATTCACCTGGGATTCCATTATTAGTCAACGGCAAAGTCCATTTCCCAATCTAGAACACAGCCTACCAGACAACCAGGCCCATCTTTACTTGGGGACAGCAAAAGAACATTACTGGTTCGAGGAACACAGGTTCCCAAAAAAGCCGCTTCCAGGCAGTATGATCTCCGGAGGCTACGTAACCTGTCTGAGGTTGCTTTCCTCGTTCGGAAAAGAAGAGTGCGGCCCTCCTCACACAGCAGCTGGAGGGTCAGACAGGCTAGCGGGAGTGAAAGAGCAGGCTGGGCCGGTGCGTGCTGGCCTCCCCATCTTTGGCTGGGTCCTCCCACGTCTGTGGCGTGGAAAATCTAACGAGACTTTGAGGAGCAGGAAAATAACTCAAAAATACATGAATACACTTCAACAGTCATGCCTCTCAGACGTGACAGTACGCAGCTGTAAATACACACTAAAATCTTATGGATATAAACACATCGTAAAGGAAATCTTTGTTGGAATCATTTATGTGGTGAGGAATAACGTCATGATGAATGGCAACCATGAAAATTGGGAGGTGCAGCAAAGTAATGGAAACTGACATTTAGTTTAAAAAGTAATCAGCTTATAAAGAACGATAATGGTCTCCCCTTGGCTTTATATTCCAATATTCTCTACCTTCAATTTTCATTACCTGTAAGCTGTTTGGGAACAGAGATTGGGTGTCACTGTTCTTTGTGTCCCGACAGTGTCCTACAACTACTAAGTGTCTAAGGGATTTAAGAAGCATTTAAATATTTTTGATTGGCAGGCTAGAAAAGTTTAATGAACTAATTACTGAAGCAAATACCATCACCCATTTTTTATCTGGTGATGTACACTAGAAACATTTTGAAAAAGTCGTTACTATTTAATGTCTTTTTTTTTAAATGGCTTACGTGGGGGAGAGATAAATAAAAGTCTTCATAACTTTTAAAAACGGCATATAGATCAGGGGCACCTGGGTGGCTCAATGAGTTCAGAGTCCAACTTCAGCTCAGGTCATGATCTCATGGTTTGTGGGTTCGAGCCCCGCGTCGGGCTCTTTGCTGACAGCTCAGAGCCTGGAGCCTGCTTCAGATTGTGTCTCCCTCTCTCTCTGCCCCTCCCCTGCTCACCCTCTGTCTCTCGTTCTCTCAAAAACAAACATTTAAAAAAAAAAATGGCATACAGATCAGACAAAATGGTTTCTGGATAGTTTGTCACAATTACTTACTTCAAGGTATTTTTAGAGTAACTCATAACAAATATTTACTAAAAACCTATTACAAAGGAGACTGGATCCTGACCTCAAGGTTTAAGCTTTCATTTCAGAATGTGAGAGATAAGACACATATGTCAATACCTCGGCAATGGGGGCCACCCCCCGGAATCTAGAAGGGATGGGAGCAGACAGAGACGATGCAGACAGGGCTCAAGGGGGGCGGGGGGAGACAAGTTACTTCCCACCAGGGAAAATCAGGAAAGACACCGTGACGGATACCTTGCTATATCTCCTCGGTAGAGAGACTTATACTCCCAGTTTGCAGGATCCGGTTTCTTATCTGTTCTGAAGGTTTCCCCTGTGAGAGCCTGAACGTCCTCGAGCCAGACGCAGCGGTGCCCAGTATCAGCGACGGCGTTCCCTTCTCGGCTGTGGGGCAGAGGAAGGTGAAGTACCAAAGGGACATCTAGTTACACGGCCCACCTTTTCGGAAGTACGGAAGGTAAACATTTCAAACTCCGCACAGCATCAAAGTACTTAAATGCATAAAATGAAAGGCGCATGTGTCACAAAGATGGAAAAAACTTTAAAATATAAAGCAAAAACTGTCAACGCTAAGTGGCATCTTACCAAGAAGTCAGCCTACCTCAGAAATTAACCTGATATAGCTGTTCAAGTATTCCATTAAATGACTGTAACTAGAATTTCAAGCATATTTGGTAAACAAGTGGGCTGCCCTTGCTTAGCCTAACTCATCCAAAAGCGCTCCGGTTATTCCAGCCGAATCTTGGCAACAACAGCAAAGCTGCAGCTCTGAATGGGTCAGTCTCAGACATCACTGAGGCTTGGGCTGAGTCTTGTTTGGACAGCTGGGCTCTGTGGACGGTGCCTCGGCCTTGTGTGCTGACCCCCCTTACAAAAGGGCAGAGAGAGTCCACTGTGAGACGAGACCCTTCGGTACCCCCAGAACCAACTAGAGAGTAGGCAGACTTCCTGCCAAGATGCGCATGGAATCACTTCCCAGGAGTCAAATGAGAGCGAAGGCAAGTCTTTCTGGCATCTAACATCCTCCCTGCTCTGAAGATCAGCTCATAATGCTGCTGACATACAAGAGGCTGCCAGGGCAGAGTCGCAACAGCATTACCTTTGCTCTCTTTGCTGTCTGGCTCTTCCCAGAGAGAAATAACGACTCTAAAGGCTTCTAAATCATTCTTGGCTGGGAATACAAAGGAATGGCATTTCGGGGACACAGAGTAGGTTTCAATCAGTATTTGCTGAATGACAGCATCTCGGGTCACAACACACAGCGATTTTTAACATAGTCCCCTCTGGAACACCCGGAGGGTTTTCTGTTGACAAACTCCGGAAGGGGCAGCAAAGGGAAGGAATGAGGTGGATGCATTCCAGAAAGAAATGGAAAGCCTGTGGCGGGGGCGGGGGTGGGGTTGGGGGTGGGGGGCGGCTGCAGACCACTCCCAGGGAGGAGACAAGGTCTGATCCGTCCCCTACCAAGTACTGAGGTCAAGAAGGAGGATGAGGTCTGGGCTGTGAGCAGGGAAGGGTCTGCCTCACCTGAAGATGAAGAGGTCACTCTAGGAAACAAAGGTCCAGGCGAAGCTGTCGCCTTGGGGGAAGTGGCCCCTTGATCACCCTGAAATAGAGTCCCGTGGGGTATACTATACCCCTGAGAACCTACTTTCCCCACATCCTGGAAGTACTCTCACAACGCATCAGTATCTTAGTCCTTGTCTCTATGGAAACAATTCCTCCAGGCCATCTTCCCAGGGAGAGGCTACAGAAGTTCAGATCGAGAAAATAAGAGAGCAACAATCGATTTTGATCTTAATGGGGATATTCTGCAAAGTATCAGTGAACTTAAAAATGCCATTTGGATCACAGAAGTATCAAGAGGCTGTAAAGATCACCTCCGATGTGACTAAGCACAGGCTGAAAATAACTACCTTTCAAGTTCGAACGGTAGTTCCTGTGTGGGTTCAAGAAATCCTTTAAAATTCACTTTCCTCGACGGTAGGAAAAAAAAGGACAGGTAGCTAACGGTGAGTTTTCAGAAGAAACGATGATTAATGTATTTTTCTTTGAAGACATACTGAAAGCAAAAATATCAATAATTCACTCATTCACGTAACAAGACTGTATTGAGCGCTTACTATGTACCAGGCCCTGTGCCAAGCGCTGAGAGAACACAATGGCAAGCAAGACGGGAGTGATTCCTGCCCACAGAAATTCAGTCAAATTCAGAGCCCTTTTGCTGGATTCCCTTGTTCTCCCCTCCTAGAGCAAATGTGGGTTGCAGGTATAGCACCTGAGACACAGAGAGAGGGCTAAATCAATCTGTGTCTTCTGAGCCACGGAGGCCTGCAACGTTCTCCACGGTCTGATGGCAGAAGGACCCAGGAAGACGGCAGCGTCTCCCTGTCTGATGGCAACTCTATGGGCCAGAGTCCAAACTTACTCCAACACAGAGCTCTCACTGACCATCAGTGAGACTTCTAAGCATACTATGAAAGCAAATCATCCCTAAGGGTCAAAACTTAAGAGCACTGCATTTTTTTTTTTTAAGTATGTCTTAAATTTTCTCTCTTCTAGCCCATATGAACAAAGGAAAGAAAAAAGTGAAGTGAGAAATCACTCAGGTAGTTTCACCACACGCCACCTGTCACAGGCACCACAGGGAAAAGTGCCTCCCTGTGTGGGAGGCCAGGAGACGAGGCAGAGAGGACCTGTGAGCACCTGTGCAGCCGCCGCGCTGTGGGACAATGTGAGCAACACGCTCACGGCAGACAGTGGAGCAAAATGTGGGGAGGAGTAAAGCCCCCAGGAAAGGAGACACTGTGATCACGAGCTGGTCCACACTTTCAACAGGGGTTCTAAATAAATGTGGAGAAAAGGACAAAGGCAGCGATGGAGTGCTACATTAACCTCAACCAAAGAGTGTGTGTGTGTGTGTGTGTGTGTGTGTGTGTGCGCACGCGTGCGTGCACACATGGGGGTGATGTGAGCGATCGGAAGTGTGGGGGCCAACAGCCCCTCCCAGATGGGACCCTACACGACGCAGGAAAGTGGCCCATATTCCCAGGCTGTGCGTGGCCCATCCGCCATCTTTCAAAAACCCCAAAGACTTTTTGCCTGAATCAGATTTTGACACAACCATTACTGTGTCTCAATAACTCTTCTCAAATAAAATCATGACTCTAATTTTTTGTAATGAAACTTTTCTTCTAAATGCTAACCTAATGGTAGAGCTCTCTTTGGAGAGTTTTGGACTCCAGTTGACTAAGTGGCTAACCAGGCATTCAAACGTCTAATTTGTGGCAACAACTGAGGGGAAAAATTCAAACTTTGAAGTCATAGGTATTTACGAACAGAAAACCTACTTTGGTTTCTCGGATTCCTTTTTACTGTCTCTAAAGCTTCTGGAAGCTTTATCCTTTTCAGAATCACTATCTGGCTCAGACCCACTGCTACTGGACCGCCCATGTTTTCTCCTGGTTTTCTTGTGGTGATGCTTCCTTTTCTTCTTTTTCTCTTTCTTCTTTTTTCTGCTTGTTTGTTTGGGCTTTTTGTTAGTGTCACTGTCATCTGAAGGCTCTGATTTCAGAGGGCTCCTGTTGGGGAAAACCAACATCAGAGTAATTTTCAAAAGAGAATTAGAAAGAAGACTATGTAAATAAGCAAATATGTAAAAGGGAACTCTGCGGTGCCTTCCTGGGTCACAACTCCCCTTAAGGACTTAAGAGTTGGACCTAAAACAACAGTAGGTGAAGAAATCCTAATTTCAACAGTTTCTAAACCTAGATGTGGGGCTCAAACTCATGAACCGCAAGATCATGACCTGAGCCGAAGCTGGACGCTCAACTGATGGAGCCACCCAGGTGCCCCACATCTATACATTTTTGAAGGAAAGTAATCTACCAGTCATTTTATCAAATACAGTATTTGTTTAAATAACATTATAAAAGGTTTATTTTCAGTCCTACATATTAAGGCAATATGTCCTTAATGATGAGGGAGGGTGGGGCAAGCTGAGGGCAAAATACGGGCTGGCACCCCGCCCCCCCAAGGTGGGTTATGTGTGATGTGCCTGGGACACGCCTGGCTACCCAAGAACAGAGAAAGTGTTTAAGTGCTTGCCATGGTGATGTGGGAAACTAAGGCAAATGAAAACTGAAATTCCCTTACTGCCTACAACCCATTGACAAGTCCTTGAAACTGGCAGGGTGACCTCCCTCTAGGAGCTCAGCTGCCTCCAGGATGACGCTTTGCTGGGGGCAAAAGACAACCTTGGCTTAACATTATCCCAACCTTGAGGATCCTGTAAGTCGACTTCCCTCATCCCACCTGCCCCGAGATATATGTTGGCAATCCTACTCCAAGCTTGTGCCCCACCCCCCATACATCTGAAGGGTCTCATGACTGAGGTTTTATTAAGCTGTAATAAGCGGCATTTCCCTAGCAACAGCCAGCCCCTGAAGGTCCTGGAAACCTTGCTTCCAAAATTCCTTAGAGACTTACTCTATCCCTGACCCCCTCCCAACCCGAGGGTATATAATGAGCTCCCCCATCAGGACCCCAGTGCAGCTCTTCCTGCCCATGGGTCCTGTCCCCATGCTTTAATAAAATCAGCTTTATGCACCAAAGATGTCTTCAAGAGTTCGTTCTTGGCTGTCAGCTCCAGACCACCCCACCATCACCCCAAAACTTCATCACTTAATGCCAAAAAAAAGATTTCATTCTGGTCCTTATACGTTTAAAAGCTCCAAGGAGCTCTTCTGCATTACTGAAACACCTACAAACAACTGCCTCATGCATCAACTATTCTCAATTTCCAAAGGCTTCTTGTACTTTTAGAGTCCTGGCTTCCCAGGGTTCATCATCTTAATTAATGAGACCATCTAGTCCATATTTGCAAGAGAACTCATTTCTCAATTCAATGATCTACAACAATTTCTTTCTTTTTTTTTAAATTTAAAACTTTTTTTAATGTTTATTTTTGAGGGGGAGGGGGGGAGCACGAGCAAATGGGGGAAGGGCAGAGAGAGAGAGAGACACAGAGACAGAGACAGAGAGAGAATCCAAAGCAGGCTCCAGGCTCTGAGCTGCCAGCACAGAGTCCGACGCGGGGCTTGAACCCACGAACTGTAAGATCATTACCTCAGCTGAAGTCGGACGCTTAACCGACTGAGCCACCCAGGCACCCCAACAACTTCTTTCAAAGCTTCGTCCAGATATGTGCCATTCTGCTTCCCCCAAAGTTTCCAGGAGATTTTATCCTACATTCTACCACACCAGCATCTTGTTTTTCCAAAACTGCTAAAAATGCAACTGAAGAGGTATCTGAGTGACAATATTCTAAAGGTTACTAATGAGGTTAGTCAAGTTACTTAAAGAATCACAATGATGCCGTTTCCCTTGGGGCTTAATTATTGGCAGTAACTGTGTCTCGCACTTGCCACTGTAACGCAGGGGGAAAAATAGAAAGAATTTAGGAATGAGGTAAGGAAAAACAGTCAAAGATCACCTCACTGCTTGAAGTGAAAAGAGTTCTAATTCGCTCTTTTATCACAGGGTTTACGGAGAAGCATTATTCAAACTAAGCTACAGACTACACACTGACAAAAACTGAAAATCCATCTTTCATAAAAACCTACCTTGTCAGAGGTGACCCTTCAGAAACCAGGGCTGTGGCCCCTTCAGTTTGTTGGCTCAGAGAGGTTATGGCTCCAGCACAAAAGCTTGGGTTGCTCAGCCAGTCTAATTCTGCACAGGCGAAAGAAAAAAGATCAATGAAGTGAGCTCGATGGGATTTCTAGAGCAGGCAACCCATCTTACCAGCTGACGTCCTAATTCACAGCCAGTGTCAGCCACACGTCGTGAACAGTCCTCAGAAGCCGAAGGGAATCCATGAAATTTTTATTTCCCGGGGCATGGGGCTCTAACACACTCTAAAATATTTAAGACTGAAATCCTCTTGTGATAGCAGGCTGTGGCTTAAGCAAAAGCCACATAACAAGCGTGGCTTAAAAAGCAACAAGGCTTTATGAATTCCATCCACACTTCAATGAGCAGGAACGCTTCCAAAGCACTGGGTTTTAATGACCTCGCATTTGATTCAGACAATTCCAAAAAGTTTAAAAATCAAAGCATGCACAAAAGCCTGCCATGCTTGATACTGTTACAGGAGATTAAGATATTTTTCTTTAAAAAACATTCTGTTTTGGGGGCACCTGGGTGGCTCAGTCGGTTAAGCATCCGACTCTGGCTCAGGTCATGATCCACAGTTTGCGAGTTCGAGCCCCGCTTCGGCTCTGTGCTGACAGCTGGGAGCCTGAAGCCTGCTTCGGATTCTGTGTCCCCCTCTCTCTCTCTGCCCCTTCCCTGCTCACACTCTCTCTGTCCCTCTCTCAAAAATAAACATTTAAAAAACAAAAACAAAACAAAAAAACAGTACTCCTCTTTGAAAATAAAAACACAAGCTGTCAACTTTTCCAATGCTAAAATTAAATAAAACATTAATAATGATTATCTCTGGGGGTGGTGAGATTAAATGTCCCAAATTTTTCCTCCATTAATTTTGAAGTCCTCTGGAATGAACTATTTCTTAATTACTAATTTTCTAACCTTTTAGGAGCCTTAGCTGTGAAGGAAAAAAAAAAAAAAAAACCCTGGGGTGGTGGCAGCAAGGGGGCTCCTGGGGGGGGGTTTGTATTTTGTCCTGTTTTGTTCTAGGACAAGGCCAGAGCATGTTCATGCGCTCAGGAGAAAGAACCCGTGAGATGGCTAAGTTAGGAGATGCACTTCCTAACAGTCATACTGGGATATCATCTATATACCATAAGGGTCACCCATTTAAAATGTACAATGCAAGGGGCACCTGGGTGGTTCGGTCAGTTAAGCGTCTGATTCTTGATTTCGGCTCAGGTCATGATCTCATGGTTCGTGGATCCAAGCCCTGTGTCGGGCTCTGCGCTGACAGTGGGGAGCCTGCTTGGGGTTCTGTCTCTCTGCCCCTCCCCCAGCTCACATTCTCTCTCTCAAAATAAACATTCTTTTTAAATGTACAATTCAATGGTTTTTAGTATACAGTAAAATATTGGATTGCAAGTTACTTGTTCTGCGAGTGTTCCGCAAGACAAGCAAACATTTTTTTTTTTGAAATTTATTGTCAAATTGGTTTCCATACAACACCCAGTGCTCATCACAAAAGGTGCCCTCCTCAATACCCATCACCCACCCTCCCCTCCCTCCTACCCCCCGTCAGCCCTCAGTTTGTTCTGTTTTTAAGAGTCTCTTATGCTTTGGCTCTCTCCCACTCTAACCTTTTTTTTTTTCCTTCCCCTCCCCCATGGGTTTCTGTTAAGTTTCTCAGGATCCACATAAGAGTGAAAACATATGGTATCTGTCTTTCTCTGTATGGCTTATTTCACTTAGCATCACACTCTCCAGTTCCATCCACGTTGCTACAAAAGGCCATATTTCATTTTTTTCTCATTGCCACGTAGTATTCCATAGTGTATATAAACCACAATTTCTTTATCCATTCATCAGTTGATGGACATTTAGGCTCTTTCCATAATTTTGCTATTGTTGAGAGTGCTGCTATAAACATTGGGGTACAAGTGCCCCTCTGCATCAGTACTCCTGTATCCCTTGGGTAAATTCCTAGCAGTGCTATTGCTAGGTCATAGGGTAGGTCTATTTTTAATTTTCTGAGGAACCTCCACACCGTTTTCCAGAGTGGCTGCACCAGTTTGCATTCCCACCAACATTGCAAGAGAGTTCCCGTTTCTCCACATCCTCGCCAGCATCTATAGTCTCCTGATTTGTTCATTTTGGCCACTCTGACTGGCGTGAGGTGATATCTGAGTGTGGTTTTGATTTGTATTTCCCTGATGAGGAGCGACGTTGAGCATCTTTTCATGTGCCTGTTGGCCATCCGGATGTCTTCTTTAGAGGAGTGTCTGTTCATGGTTTCTGCCCATTTCTTCATTGGATTATTTGTTTCTCGGGTGTGGAGTTTGGTGAGTGCTTTATAGATTTTGGATACTAGCCCTTTGTCCGATATGTCATTTGCAAATATCTTTTCCCATTCCGTTGGTTGCCTTTTAGTTTTGTTGGTTGTTTCCTACAAGCAAACATTTCTAGTAAATTTTAACCTGATAAACAAACGGTGTCTTGCAATACAAGTAGTACGTGATTCAGAATGTCACATGATCACAACTGAGCCAATGGTTCCTCCCTCTCTCTCTCTCTCTCTCTCTCTCTCACTGAGGGATTGTGGGTGATCTCCCATGCTCGGTCTCAGGCCGTGGTGTCTGGAAGAAATCAGTGATTTTTCAGAACGTTGGAAGGTGCCCACGACTGGTACTAGTGTATTTTTTGTCACTTCAAAGCACCTACGGACAGTCCTCTGCTTTTCCATTCAAGAGTAAGCTTAGGAATGCTTAGCTTCATTCTAGGTCAGGCTCCTTGCAGATATAGACGCTTTCCTCTGCTGCCTTATTGCCAGTTACATTAAATACAGTATATGACAAGAGTTCATTAATACTGTAGTCAACTTCCGTGTGAGCGTATACAACGGCCCCATGCAGAAAAAGATTCCACTGAGCCAACAGACAGCAGTGATTCCATTAGTGATAGTGAAACTTGTCCTACACAATAACCCTCCTCTCTCGTCTCCCTCACACCAGCCACGAAGGCTTTCAAAAGTAAGTACAGGTTAATTTATTTTTCTTTATCTGTTTTCTTTATTATTTTGTATTATATTATGGTACTGTATCATTTATGTGAATATTTTGGGGTTGTGGAATCATCTGAGTTTCCATGATTTCTAATGAAGAGATTCACTTTGCTACACAAGTGCTTTGGATTACAACCATGTTTCCAGAACAAATCATACTTGCAAACCAAGGTTTTACTATATTTAGAACTGGGCAGGGCACCTGGCTGGCTGAGTCGGTGGAGTGTGCAGCTCTTTTTTAAAAAAATTTTTTTAACATTTATTTATTATTGAGAGACAGAGGGAGACAGAGCATGAGCATGGGAGGGACAAAGAGAGGGGGAGACACAGAATCCGAAGCAGACTCCAGGCTCTGAGCTGTCAGCACAGAGTCCAACGCGGGGCTCAAACTCACAAACCGCTAGATCATGACCTGAGCTGAAGTCAGACACTTAACTGACTGAGCCGCCCAGGTGCCCGTGGAGTGTGCAACTCTTAACCCCAGGGTCATGAATTCCAGCTCCGTGTTGGGCATAGGGTTTACTTAAAAAAATATATATTTTAAGTAAAAAATATCTGTGTTTTAGATTATATATATATATATATATATATATATATATATGCTTGTGTGTGTGTATATATGTATATGCATATATATACATATACACGTATTATGTATATATGTATATACACACACATATATATATATACATGTATATACACGTATATATATGTGTGTGTGTGTGTGTATATATATATATATAATTGTTCAATTATCACCATAATTTTAGAACATTTTCATCATCCCAAAAAGAAACCCCAGACCTATTGGCAGTCACCATCACTCATCTCTGGCTCTCCCACCCCCAGGCAACCACTAATCTGTCTCTACAAATTTGCCTGTTTGGGACAATATGATTTTTTTTTTTTTAATTTGAGACAAACAGAGGGGGAGCGGGAGGGGGTGGGGGAGAGGGAGGGAGAGAATCTTAAGCAGACTCCACACTCAGTACAGAGTCCAACACAGGGCTCGATCTCACGACTACGAGATCATGACCCAAGCTGAAATTAAGAGTCGGTGCTTAACCGACTGAGTCACCCAGGCACCCCCAGGACATTTAATATGAGATCATACAGCATACAGTCTTTTGTAACTGGCTTCTTCTACTTTGCATAATGTTTTCAAGGTTCATCCATACTGTAGCAAGTATTAGTAGCCATTCCTTTTTATCGGCAAATAATATTCCATTTTATGGGTAGATCACATTTTGTCCACTGATCAGCTAATGGACGCTTGGGCTGTTTCCCTTTTTGGTTATTATGAACAATGCAGCTACAAACATTCATGTACAAGTTTTTATATGGACATATGTTTTCATTTCTCTTGGCTAGACAGCCAGAATTGCCGGGCCATGTGGTAACTCATGCTTAGCATTTTAAGGAAATGCCAGACTGGTTTCCAAATTGGCTGCACCAGTTTACGTTCCCATTAACAAGGTAGAAGGATTCTAATTTCTCCAAATCCTTGGCAACTTGTTACCGTCTGTGTTTTAGATTATAGTCATCCTAGTAGGTGTGATGTCTTTTCTCATCGTGCTGCTGATTTCCATTTCTCTGGTGACTAATGATGTTAAGCATCTTTTCATGTGTTTATTGGCCAATATTTGAACAGAAATAGTCAAATACTTTGCCCATTTTTTAATTGGGTTGTCTTTTTAGTATTGGGTTGGCAGAGTGCTTTATATATTCTTTGTTCTGGTCCCTGATGGTTACTGCATCTTAGGAGGAAGGAACAGAATGTGTGCCCCGTGATGACAGGTACTTTGTTTTACTCAACTGCTGTATCCGTGGGTCCATGAGCAATGCCTCGCATAACATCAGGAGGCGTTTAATAAATATTTGTGGGAAAGAGGGGAGACAGGGAGGGAGGGAGGAAAATTCCTAAGGAGGAAAGGGACATTAAAACAAAAGGGAAAGAGAAGGATTGTAACTCTTTAAGTGCCTACCGTAGGCTAAACACCAGGTAAAGCACTTTACATTC